TAAGTACCAGGTAGCCATAGAGTCAATTGAAAATCGAAAGCTTTTATCGATCCTAGTAAAGCGTCTGCCACATGTTGCCCTAGTACCTAATGAAGATTTATTTGGTCGTTTCTGTTCATTGTGGTTGAGCTAGGGCTGTCAAAAATTTGTTTATTTTGTTCCAATGAGAAAAACGCATAGTTACTGCGAAAAATAGTCCGTTCCGTTCGAAAAATGTTTGTTATTATGCATACCGTTAAATCAATAAACGTATTAATCAACAGTCATAGTTAAATAAAGAATCAGTAAACTAAAATAATTGGCGTTTTAAACCGTTAAATTGGTTTCATTTAAATAAGTACTATTCGTGCACCTAATGACAACGTACTCTTAAATATTTGTATTCTTTTTAATAAATGTAGTCAATTTGTATACTTTTTTAATGTTTTGGATTTCACATTATTTCTTTCAACAATAAGGCCAGCCTTTTTATTGTATTCTCGTATATAAATGTCAATTATATTAAATACAAAAATGTCCGAAATATTAATGAATAAATACAAATTAAGTTATTTTTTTGCAAGACCGAATTACGTATATACACAGGTGAAAAATAATGATTCATATCATGAAACTTCTTTAAATTCTGTGACAGCCCTAGGATTAAAAAAAGCGTCTACCGATGTAATAGGATAATTGGAAGGAATGGTGAACATTGCAGTAGCATTTAAGTGTTTGATTGATTGATTTAAGGGCGTTAATTTAGATAAAAGGAAACCATTAACTTTGCAATGACGTACCAATATATCTTTTCAATAAATATACATATATACTTTGACTTAGGTGTATGTACAGTGACATACGACATATACGACAGACTATACTTTTGAGTGTTGTCTGTAGTTTACGTGAATAGTACAAATTTAAATAAAACCCTTTTAACGGTTTAAAACGCGAAGTAAATTAGTTAACTTATTTACAATTTATTTTATCTATGGTCCAACGGTTCGGATACCTTTTGCAGCAGCCGTGGTTACGAGGGTAATGAAGATGGAGAGGTGTCCCTAATGTCAAAGTCAAAACTACTACGCTAGCGCCATCTGTTTCGTAGTTGCTATTTGGTCCTTCTAGTTTCTCTTCTTCTAGAAATAAATTATAAATAAGTTAAGTATTTCGCGGTTTTAAACCGTGAAATTTATTTGTTTTAAATTCTGATTCCTTGCTAACAATAATTGTAGCCTGTGTTAAGCAGGTTAAATGTAATTTTCTAATAGTGATAGGATTTTTTAAATCGACATCGTGGATTTTCTGCTAATACATTACAAACACACACAAAAATTATAATCTCTTTATTATATAAGTATAGGTGAGTGAGTGATGCGTAGTTTGTAACAATAATTCTTAGCCGGATCAAGTTACATCTGTAATAATCTTGAATCTAATTAACGCACGCTTAATTAATGAATCAATTAAAGTTCATTTAGTGGCTTCATAATAATCAAGTTTACATTGTTAGAAGTCCGTAGCTCAATGGTAAAACGTTACCTAGCATTGGGTTAGATGATGTTCAGATTCGGATCGCGGGAAAAGAACAAATTTTTCGGTCGAGATCATGTGTGTTTGCTCCATGCCTATATTTAACAAAATGAGGATGGTTAATATAGATTAGGCTCTAGGAAGAAAAAGTATTCTTATTCTTTCTATATACGCTAATCTCTGAAACTACTTCACGAATTGTTTTCCAGTATTTAAATCTAATTTAAGTCAACTTCTATAGGGTACACTACAGTTATGAAGATATATTTTTATAGAGTTCCTATTCCTGGCGCAGTTTAGGGTGAAAACTAGTTTCATAATTCATATAAATAACTAGCTGTGCTAGCGACTTTGTCCGCGTAGAAAATTATTTTGGCCATCCAAATATGTTTTTTAGACCTCCTCATCTTTATAAATTATATGTTTATGTTATTTCATGTTGTTTTATATGTTTCTTCGCTTCTATTGATCGCGTCCTAATGTTTTACAGCCTTCCTCGATAATTAAATATAAAACAACAGAAAAATAATTTTTATTTCGAACCAGTAGTTCCTGAGGTTAGCGCGTTCAAACAAAGTGAACTGGGGCTGAATAATATCAGTATAGATGTATTTAAGACATCAATGACGTGACAATTTATGAAAATCGCGTTTCGAAGTAGATATTATGCTTTTTTAACGAACCAGGCACCAATGGAGAAGGCGCCAAGCGGGCTGGTTGCCAAAACACATAATCACTTCAGCCATATTTGCAAACTTGTAAAATATACTAGCGATACACCGCGAATACTAATTGCGATTTTTTTCTTTAATTCCTTGTTGAATTTAACGGCTAGTTACCAGTAGGGACGTGGGTTTGATTATGTACCCCAAAACAGGTCAACAACACATCAAGAGTAGATGGTATACTGCTAATGCATATGTAACTAAAGCGATATTGATTTTATATCCGTATTCAGGGAATAAAAATATACTGTGTTGAGTAAAGTCTATAGTTAAATCGAATCGCACATTATTGTAAGGTTAAAAAAGGCGAAATATTTACGACCCAACGTTTTATCCGCTTGACTATTTTTACGCGCTCCAAGCCGTTCAATGCGGTTTAAAACTCTATATATTATGTATATCTTGAACCGTTTTCGCATCGGAAATCCACAGAGATGAATAATTTCCCCCCGTTTTTTCCACATTTTCTGCTGTTCCAATTTGAACCAGTAATTCCAGAGATTAGCGCGTTCAAACAAACAAATTCTTCAGCTATATATATTAATATAAATATTACGTTATATCTAATATATAAAATTCTCGTGTCACACTTTTCGTTGCCATACTCCTCAGAAACGGCTTGACCGATTTTAATGAAGTTTTTTGTGCTTATCCGGTACCTATGAGAATCGGCCAACATTTATTTTTCATCCCCCTAAATGTTAGGGGTAGTCCACCCCTAATTTTTTATTATTTTAAGACAAAATTTTTAATTACTATTTTTTTATGACACAACATACAAAAATACATACAATCCTCAATTTTCCCCTTCTACGATCAACCCTTATTTTTTAATAGACATTTTAGTAATTTAATCATTTTTCCTCCGGTCCATTTATTTATATGGCAAAACAACGTTTGCCGGGTCAGCTAGTAGTTCTATATATTTTGTAATAGATAACAGACATGATAGATATATCCACTTGCATAATACTCTATCTTATGGTTCTGTCAGACTATATATACAAATATATAGTATGCTGTGACCTTCGTTTCGCTTTGGTGGTTCCAATGTGGACACTTCCTCAGTCATTATGTTACCAAGCCTCTTCCTCCCATTTGCATTATAAACGAAGACAATTAGTTATATTTATTGTTCTCTATTAGTAAGGATAGATTGTTTGCTATTTCTCATTAAACATCTACTTCGGAACGGTATTGGGGCTTTTAATTTATAATTTAGATAAGTCGTATATTCATCTAATCTTCTAATCTATAAAATTTATCTGTCTTTTCGTTTCTGAACTCTCCCAAAACGGCTGTAACGATTTTAATTAAATTTTGCACATATAATATTAATAGGGTTTTCAAGCTGGGGACACTCAGTGGTAGACTAATTTTATAAAATTGACGATTAAATAATGATCTGTTTTGGATTGCTCAGCAGATCACAGCTTATCCTTATTTGATGTTATATGGCGGGTCTTTTTTACCTTCCATGAAGTGAATCTCTTGCTTGTATATATCAATCATAAAGATAAAAAGCAAAACATTTTATTGAAATCGGCTTAGTCGTTTTTGTGTGCGACTTGTATGTGACAAGGATATTTAAAAAAATGTTCTTACTTCTCCGTGCTTATTACAATTACGCCACAGTGTTTAGCTAGTAGAATACATTGTCTAATGTAAATAACATTTGAGTAAAATAATTTAATTATACCTGTCGTTGTACGAAATACTCTTCGTATGAAAAATCACTGAAAAAATAAGAACTGCGAAATTATCAATTCCACTGATGAGGTGTGAATTTTCGCCAAGGCGTACAAGCAAATCTAAAATAGTTTTGTAATTTTCCTAACGATAATGGTAAATCGGTCTCTTATTGTGCGCCGGCGCAGCGTGTAGTGATGTAACGCCAAGGTCGGATAGTGTCATTCCGACCGGTTTCTTTACCGCGTTTTTGCGTGGTTTCATTATTTCGATAGCAGTCTTGATTAAATATTCTCAGCTGATCGTGGATGATTTTTTTTAAGTTTATAGTAATTAGTTATTTTTTTATATTCTTCCGCCGATTGTGTATTTTAATTGGCCATTGTTTAAGGTCTTGCCTACGATTTACAATAATTTAAAAAATGCTTTATTATAACGTTTATTTGATAGAAATAACTAGAGGGGCCCCAAGTGATGCTTTTCAATATTAAAATGACAATAACCTAGATTTTTTTAGAATCTATATTGTATTTGCCTAGCAACCAGCTTGGAGTAACAATATTTTTACAGAATCAAAACAATAACTCGCTTATGAAACTGGGGCATTGCCCCCATTACACTTCTTAGGAGGTCAAAGAAGAGCCTTAAGACTAGATTAAAGGAAGCCTAACGATCGCAGGTAGGTGAGTCCGTGTTAAGAATAAATTGTACCCGAGCAAACGTAGTGGTAAGCGATTGAGAACAAACACATTTGTGTTTGGGTTAATGCCTACTTATAACTTACAAATGCCTGTAAATAATTATCTGTTTTCTTATATCTTGTTACGCTTTTGCGTTTTCATATGTGACCTGTATTGTACGTTAGACTTTTGTAATGATATTAATATGAAACGAAAACTTTCTTGGATCCGAAATAAAACAAACGAAAAACGTTTACTATTTATAAAATATAAATAAATATTAACAATACTTTCTGTATTAATAAAACATGAACCATTAATAGTTTTAACCACTGGAGCGTGCAATCACTTACACATGTATAAACTTTTACTTTTATGTCGAAGTAAAAAATTATTCATTGACAGCTATATAATACTCAGCCAGTTCGTCCGGGTATGACAAGGATTTATAAGGATCTAAAACTTCAGAATTGCTCCATGATTTGTCTAATAGAATTTTTGGTGGAGGCGAAATTGTGCTGAAAACAAAACCGCTTTCACTCAATTCTGGATACACATCTGTCGTGAATTCATCGTCCAACTTCAAAGATGACTCACTCTGTTCTGTTGTGTTATTTGCTTTATCAGTTGCGTTTATATTAGAATGTGACATAACTTCGTTGATATCGCTGCGGTTATGTGCCTGTACTTCACTTATCACTTCACTGTCATTGTAAATAAAGCCACGTGGTGATAAGCGGTCTGCTGTATTTATAGCGAGACTTGTTTGATTAACTATAAGCTTGGAAATGTGCAAATCATTACCGATCTTTTCTGTTGGCTTACATTGATCTGGTTTTTCGGTCATTGCAGTAAATACATTCGTCCAAGTTTCCACTGTCGTATAAGTATCATAATTAGGCGATTGAGTCGTTGTTTCGTTATATTCTTTCATCGTATTAAAATGTGGTGGTGACGGAAATAATATTTCTTCGAGAATTTCGTTGTCATTTTTGTATCCGAAATGGTAAGCCTCCGTATTTGACAGTTTTTCAGTCTGTAACTTATTGTTTGCGATTGTTTTCTTTGCTTTTTCAGCAATATTAGAGTATATTCTTGTGCGCAATGCATTTTTTATTTGTTCTTCTTGTTGCGTGTAAGGCGTTGGAGTAGCCATGTAAAGATCATAGTTCGGGCTTTCATCGTGAGATCTTTTCTTCGGAAAATCAGATTCTACAAAATCCTCTGTAAAGTCGAAATGTTGATGTCTATTGTTATAATTCAAATTTTTCACCTTTTGTGCTGTGGGTATTGGCTTACCGGGTTTTGCCTTACTGTTTGTCTTAATAGAACTTTTCAAACTAGTTTTTCGTGAGTTTCGAGAAGTATAATTTGTAGATGACGGTACTATAGCTTTATGCGAACAATTCCAATAATTAGGTCGCCAAATGTCTTTATTACTCAATGGGTATTCAACGTCTGGAAAGATGCCGACGTCTCGGTAACTAGGAGCAGAAGAAAATTCTGTTCCTTTGATGTCGGGAGTGGGGGAGCGGGGCTTACTCCTTAATTTCTTTTTTTGTTTAGGGCTATTCAACTTGGAATTATTTTTAATAACTTTCGGCACTGTATCCACGTCTTTAAGAAAGTTATGAAAATATATAGGAGCCATTGGCGGCGAAACCGTCTGGTATTGAATATCGGGAAAATTAAATTTATCACGGACGTCTTGGTTAACATTTTTGTTTAAGTGCATCCCGGACTGCACTTTATTCGTTGAACTAGACTTTGTCCCTCGCGTTGGTTTAATACCATGTTCTTTTTTTGAACCCATTGAATCTGATCTTTTACGGACATTTTTAGGCAAACAGTGTAAAGAGTGTATCTGTAAAAATTTAACAATTGTAATTGTTGTAACATCAAAACAATTATATGCCTTTGGTCTCCTATATACGATATTTGCGTTTGCCGTAAAGAATAATGTCTAGTAAATATTATTTATTTTGGTGTTGATGGTCTGGTCATAGATAAAAATGTTCTGTAGTGTATCGAAATAACTACGACAAAGATGTCTGCAGTCCACGGTGTTTATAGAAGACCAAAGCCTTACATAATACGTAATTAGCTCAGAACTTACCATCGAAAATATGGTGGCAATTAAAATTAATAATGCGACTCTTTCACGGACAGCCATATTGAAGTGTAAACAATTGTTATTTTTATCACAATTATTTATAACACATATTTCATTTGATTTCCTAGGAAATTGATAGGTTACCTAAATACTTATCAGTGTTATAAAAACCTATTACTTATTTTTGTGTAATTGATACAATTAGATATAGTATTTTGCAACACATTGTATTGTTAAAAGTGAAATGCAATAAAATACTTCAATAAAATATTGTATAAGTATATTATGTGGATTTATCAACTATCTAAAATATGTTGTATTTTGTGAAGAGACTTCCGTACTTGTCGATACATAGGTGATATTTGAGGATTGAGTATCTTCCGATGTAATTTTTTGATTTTCATCTGTTATCTCATTAAGGAATTCTTCATTACTTTGTTCTTCAATTTTTGTAAACGTTTGCGCCACTACCTCCGTTTCTTTAGATTTTGATAACTCTTGTGATACAAATAATTCGTCTTCTGTCTCCGTGCTCCCTATGGTATCATATTCTGTCAACTCATTTGAAATGTCATTTACTTCTTTACTCAATTTATCAAATGTATCATCTGTAATGATTGTCACGTTTTCGTAGAGTTTAGTTACGTTTTTTATAGATGTAAACGTTTCATTGGTCGATTCAATGTTGACATTTAATGGATTACTTGAAAGGCTTTCTTTTAGTTCAGTGTCATAAGATGTTATGTTAGTAATTTCTATAACATCTTCTTCCATATAGTATGATTCATAAGAACTGTGTTCAGTTTGTGTTGAGTTTGTATCGACACTATTCACTGCCAAAACTTTACTCTCATTTTTGTCAAAGTTATTTTGTGTTCTGGTTTTTTGGTATGAATTAATCTTTGAGAGAAGGCATCTATAAGAATCTTGAACATCTTTCGAAAATGGGCCCGTAATGCCATCGTGGGCATCGGTCAGGAAATAAAAAGGTTGTGTGGAGTCCAAAACAGATAGGGGGTACGTGGTTTCCGGAAATTTACTTTCAAAAACATCTGACTCATGACAGGAGAATGATCGACTATCGATTTGTTGGGGAACTTCAATTGATGATGTTCTTTGTTTGATATTGGGTGCGTAACTGTAAGCACCATTTTTCCTTGCTCCACCAACGGTAGCAGATTTTTTACCAACGCGAAGTGTACTTCCATCAACATATTCCTGTGAAAACAATTTTGATATAAGAATATAACTATGCAGCTACTACCACTAGACGATGCTTATAGTGACAGTGGATACCAGGATGGATTTGAAATTTTGGGAGTTAAAGAGCGCCAATCTGGACCTTGGTAGTAAGAGGTGTCACCACCCTTGTGCTTTATAGAGCATCTTACGCGTGTCGGTCCTGATTATTTATTTAATTCCAAAAACATTAAAATAATAATAGAAAGCGTCTTAGATTGTTACATCCACACTTACTGTGGCGGTAGTCGTTTAATCCCAAAAGCTTATGAAAAGTGACGTTAATAGTTTTCTAACGAAGCATAGTTAATCAAGACATTATGAAACATTTTAAAAAGAAACTTACTTTCACAACTATGGAACAGATAAGCCATGTCAAAATCATCTTACTCTTTGTAATATTTACAGGAAATTCATTGCATCGAATTGTTTAAATGCTTGAACAATTGAATTTTTGATATGCCGGAAGATAATAGAACAATGCAAATTGTTGGCGTTTACCTATTTCTAGTACATATACTTCAATAAACACATGATCACAGAAATAAGCGCATTTATAGGTTCTGTTACAAAATAAATTAGATTGTATAAAACAAATGACGAAATATTGTAGAAACGAGCAATTTCTAATAGATACTCTTATCATAGTGATTTCAAAAATTAGCAATCAATAAAACAATTAAAATCTGTTGACAATATAATATTATTTAAATAAATCACTTTTAACGGTTTAAAGTACAAAACTTAGTAGTTAAACTTATTTATAAGTAACCCGAAATTTTGGATGCTGAATGCTTGATGTATGGTGTCTAATTTCAAAGTAAAAATTGCTCCGCTAGCGCCCTCTGTTTTATCGTATTTGGAATTTGGGGAACTGGTCGGCTGCTAAGATTTCGAAACGTCGGGCCTTATTGAAAAAAACATTGTAAATAAATCTAATTAATATATTTCGCGCCGTAAACGTTTAAAAGTGTTTTATTTAAATGTGTACTTCTAGCGTTAAACACAGACGGTACTTAATACAATATTATCGATCGATATCGATTTTTAATACGTACGAACTTTGTTTAGGATATAAAGATTCATAATCTAGTCAATTATTATAAAAAAACCCTTACTTTGAATTCAGATTAAAATGCCACGTGCAGGCATCGAACCCAACCACAATTCCGTTCTATTCTTTTACATTAGTACTAACTAAAACTAAAGGATAAGAAACAAGTTCCTAAATACGTAAATATTTATTTAGAAATGTAAACTGTGGGTAAATGTTACATTCAGATGAATTTTCTTGCTTTTATCATCTTTGAGCGTATTATTGGTTTATTCTGTACAATAACAAAAACATACAAACATTTGTAACAACGTGTGTGTTAAGTGTCAAATATTCGAAAACATAATTCGCGAACAGTTTAAAAATGGGAGCATCTGTATTATTAATTTAAAGAAGAAATCAATCAATAGTTGATAATGGCACAATTGTTTGCTGATTAAAACTTAATGAAAAGTTTTAGCAGCGCGAACACCCACATCCGCCGCATCCGCAACCACCTCCGTACCCACCAGCGTAAGGAATGGGCACTGGCATTGCGGGTGGGGGAACACCGCCGAAGCCTCCGCCACCCATCATGGCGAGGAGCATGATTGGCAGGATGACGTCCAAGTCATTGTCGTTGTTGGACATGGCTGGGTATGGACCCCAATTTCCATATGGGCCGAATTGTCCGTTCACGGCCTGAAATGTCAACTAAAAGGGTTAAGTACTGTCTGTAGTTTAACAGTGTAACGGTTTAAAACACGAAATATATTAGTTAAACTACGGCCCGAAGTTTCAGATGCTATGCAGGAGCCGTGGTCACGGGGACCCTAATGATTGAGGGTGTGTCTGACGTCAAAATAAAAATTGCTACGCTAGCGCCATCTGTTTCGTGGTAGTTGTTATTTGGCAAAACTGGCGGGGGTATAGAGGTCGTAATAAAAAATAATTTACAAACAAGTTTAACTAATACACTTTGCGTTTTAAACCGTTAAAGTGTTGTATTAAAAAAAAGGTTATTAAAAGTAACAGCATGGAGTGCAGTTGATGGAAATGAAATACCTCAGCCATATAACATGTAAATAAGATGTGTTGTTTACCTATTATCAAAAACAAAATATATCAATTTAATACACACCTGAAGAACAAGAAGGAATGCAAAGCAGAAGGTTACTTTCAAGGGCGACATTTTGAGTTTTGTGACTCCTAATGGAAATAATTCTTTTTATATCCATTTTCTATTAATCTCGTAAATAAATTCGTTTTGTAATTAGGTTTATGTGTCAATAAGAGCACGTAGCGTGGAAGGAAAGTGAAATAAATAATTAGAAAAACTTAAAAAAGTATAGTTAGGAAATTATCTACAGCATTTACAGATAAAACATATTTTTTATATTGGTTAATAAATGTAAAACAGCGAGAATAGGAGCTTAGTGGAATCAGCTATTTGTCCACGAAATTCTACGAGTATCCCAGAAGGATCTAATACCCCATAAAAATATTTGAACTTCAAATATCATACGCGTGTTTTACGTTACTTACAATAATAGCGATGTTAAATAAACACGCCTGTATATGTAAGTTAATAAAATCAATAGTTGACGGGTTTACTTATTAAAAAGTTCTACCTTAAAAGCGACACTCAGAAATCAATGCAACATCCTTTAAATATATTTATTTTGTACTTTGCTTTACAAAATAACGTTTGGATTCTAAAATGCGCGCGTAAAGAAAACTATCACAAATTTCCTATTCAAGTATGCACTTATTACTAAGTTAACTTAATTGTTCTGGTTGTAGTTTACGCGAGAGTTAAATTAGATTTGAATAAAACCCTTTCAACGGGTTATAACACGAAATATATAACTTATTTGCAATTTATTTTAACTATGGCTGCTCCAAAGCATCCTTAACGTCAGACTGTAGTTAAAACAAATTGTTGTAAAAGCGTTTTATTTTAATTACTATAATATAAAAGTGTTTTAATCCTTTTGTCCTAGGTATTAGATTTTTAAACATATTAATTACTTGATATAGTTTTAATAGGAAAAGTAAACTTTATTCACGTAAAATGGTTATATATTAATGAATAAACAAGCTCTGCTGGTGCAAGTAACAAAATAAATAAAGCTTTTTTTTTAAATTCCAGAAAATCCGTGTGCATTTACTCATTCAAAAGAAGTCCAGGTTTTATTGTTTACTATAGAATAAGCAGACATTTTGTTTATTAAGTATACAAAAAGTTCCATTACGTGTATTTTGTTTTTATCATATTAATAGTTTGATTAAACTTAAATATTCATATAACACTGTAATCCGTTGTTGAAGGTACGGTTATGTCTATTTATTCTTATCCAGGATTCCAAGCCATTCATTTAACTTCGACCGCTACCATTGAGTATATAGAGGTATAAAATCCATTGTATTAACATTCAAAAAATGTTTGAAAACATTAATATTTTCACATGAAGGCACTATATAATTTATTTTCGATTTTTAAATTATTCAAAAAATGTTACTTTTAGGATCAAGAAATAGAGAAATAAATAAAACAGATTGTGATAAATATATTCATTTATTAATTCCTCCCTTTTGATAGATGTCAATAGTAATTCCCACCATTGCCACACGAACACCCACAGAATGGTACGGGAATGGGATACGGTACGTAAACGGGATTACCCGCATTACCGTTACGAAAACTTGTGAAAAGGTCCAGCCAATCTAGAATGTCCATTTTGTCATCGTCATCTTTATCAACTACGATGACTATTGGTTGCGATGACGGTGCGTTGACGTAATTGGGAACAGGAGAACCGTCAAATGTCATCATCCTTTCAGGATTGACATTGTATAGTCCGTAATTGTCCAGCCATTGCGCGTAACTGAACTGTAACAAGATGTTTAGTACTGTCTGTAGTTTACTCGAGTAGTACACATTTAAATAATACACTTTAACACTTTAAAACACGGGGAGCAGCCACCACAGTCTTTCCGTGACCACGCCTGCTGCAAAGCATCCAAAACATGGCGCCGTAGTTAAAATATTTTTATAATAAATTTAACTAATATATTTCGCGTTTTAAACCGCTCAAGTGTTTTTTTTAAAGATCATTAGTGATACGCTGTCTCCCTGGTCCAATGGTAATGGTGTATGGCTAGGGGCCGTAGATTCGATTCTCACTATGTCCCACTAGGTAAACTTTATCTAGATAGATGTTAAATAAATATCGAAATTCAATTGAAGTCGTGAACCATTACAATTGAAACGGCGACAAATTGTAATCACGTTTCAACTTTAATCTATAGATTTCGGTTGTTACAACAAATAGGTACACAGTATGTCTTGTTTTAATGATCTGAATCTTGTTACATAGACTTAATAAAACATACAAGTTCCTTACCTGCCACAATAAAATTATTAACAAACATATTTTTGCAGGAACCATGTTAGGCCTGGTACATCTTTCAGAATAAGATCAACAATTAAAATTTTCATCTTATAGGCTCCTTTTTATACAAATATAGCCTAAGATAATTCGTGGATTATTGTAACTTTAAAAGTTGGGAAACAATAGACCCTAATTATAAGAATTTTGATTTCATAATTTCCTAACACTTGGAAAACAATCGTATTTTATAAATGTTGACAAAATCATTTACACAGGCGGGAGTCAAACCCACTATAATTCCATCGTTCTATTGATAGAGCAACGGCACCAGATATTTTTAGTTTTAGCTTAACTATTTCAAGTCCTAATACTATAGAGTTAGGACTCGGTAGCTCAATGGTTAGAGCAACAGCAGTCCTACCCGAATCGTGTTTTTTTTTTCAATTTAAAATCGATTTTTAATTAATATAGACCTACTGAATGTAACGTTCATATCATTTTGAATGTTTGTCGATATGATAAATAAATTAAAATAAAATGCAATTAACTTATGTAAAATATATGCTTTTAATGTAGTTCACATTGAAATCATTTTTCCGTTCGTATTAATAAAGTAACTTCATTATCTCTCGGGTTCACAGCTTGTCCAGGTGTCGATGGTATAATTGTTAACTCATCCGTAGGCATTGGGTACAGATTAGGGTCTGCTATAGTCCCACCGCTGGGCATTGGTACAGGAACGGGATACGGCACGTAGTTTACATTGTTGAAGCCGTCATCACACCCGCATCTATCATAACCACCACCACAACCAGAGCATGGGTAACATGCATACGGCATTGGCGGTGGGGCATACCCGCTGTAACCATTAAATCCCATATTTCTGTTCTTCATTGCGAATATGAGGAAGTACAGTAAATGGTGCCAGTTGTCATCATTATCGTTCTGGAATATGATGGGTGGCATCATTGGGGGATAGAGGGGGCTGAAGTCTGGCATCGAGGGGGGGGCGTGGGATTTCAGAAATGGGTTCTGGCGAGAGAAGGGGTTTGATGACAGCGGGAATGACGAACTGCCCGCATGGCTGGACTATTGGTGTGGCGGTGACTGTACCCACTGGCGGGGACATATATTCAACACGCTGACCTGCTACATAGCCCTGAAATATGAACAAGGTTTATAAAAATGAAAAAGCACTAACTACAGAAACGTATTTTTAACTAAACTACGTCCTATGTACCTACGTATTGTCTGTAGTTTACGCGAGTAGTTTAAATGAAACACAACATTACCCTCCTTTAAGCCATCGTCAGATGTCAGATGTATCTAGTCCATAATCTGTACTAATATATAAAGTTGAAGAGTTTGTTTGTTTGAACGCGCTACTCTCAGGAACCACTGGTCGGAAATAAACAATTCTTTTTGTGATCGTTAGACTATTTATAGGTAAACCCAAAATAACTTTTCTACGCGGACGAAGTCGCTGACACAGCTAGTATTGAAATAAATGTCAGATGTATCTTACCAAGCAGGCAATCGTCAACAGCATTATCCTGTGTGACCCCATTTTGAAATATTATTGACAAAGCTTATTCCGCTTCTTTTTTTATAGGAACGATTTCCAAATCGAATTATTAACGCTCTTGCGCAAGACCTCTGTTTAAATTAAAACACGTATTCTCGTTCGAGTCGTCTCTGCGAGGTATTATAAGTATTATTTATGGAATGTATCACACAAAATTAAGTGTCCTATGATAAGTTAATAAATTTCAAACGAGACATTCACAATCCTTAATTTTTCTTACCGGTTTAACTTTTCATTCAAGCCATACAGAGATCAGTCTTGTTAATTTTGAGATTATTAATAACTATATTGTTCCTAACTCTAGTGGGGTTTAACGGCTTGCTCTTGAATTACGTCCTAAAATAAAAAAGTAGTTCAATTGGTCAGAGCCAACAGCACGGCGTTGGATGTCAACTTATCGATTTAAAAAACAGTTTTCTTTTTGTTCTGCCAAGTACATTTATCTGGTAGGTAATGTTGATTTATACATATAATTTATTGAGAAAACAAAATTAAAGCCAATAAGAGCTACTTGTAGCCGTAGCCCTTAATTGCAAGAAGCTGCATCTTGAAAATGCCTTCAAGCTTCAGCTCAGTTTAGCTTAAGCCACTATCACTTGACGAAAGATTATTTTAGAATATTACCATAAGTTAAATAAAGCTACTTCGAATAACAACCTGAAGTTAATTGGTTAAGCATTGTTTGTTTGTTGCAAGATTTGTTGTTTAAATTGGTTTAAAGTTTTAAGAGAAATAAACAATATGTTTTTTTTTATATTTATGTCTATTTATAAAACAACAGGCGCGTTTATTGGTATCGGTATAGGAAACGGCATTGGTATCGGACCGTCGTTGTTACAATTACAGCAACCGTTACAACAGCATCCATAGCCCCCATACGGTGGGGGGAACCCTGACCCCCAAAGCCATCAGTGAGCAGTAACAGAAGTAGGGGCAGAATTGTTTTCATACTATCGTTGTCGTTTGATTTCACCACGATTGGATATGGCGGGTAGTTGGGTGCCATTGGAGTACTTGCACCATAATATCCTGCGTACTGTGACGTGACAAGCATCTGAAATTGTATAAAGAGCTTTAATGTTTATAGTCTATATCTAAACTTATATTATTAGAAACACAGCACAGCTGGGGTTTGAAGCTGGGACCTAGAGACATAGCTCGGTTAGTAGATTTATATTTTTCTAGTTATAAAATTTATGATCACGAAAATTAGAAGACAGACCTTTAAAAAAAATACTTTAGATCTATGAATAATTATGGCAAAAAAAATGATAATTCAGTTGAAGAAAATAAGAAGCTAAATCATATAGAATACTGTTTGTTGTTTACGCGAGTAGTACACATTAACGGTTTAAAACGCAATATATTTTAGTCGTGACCACGGCTGCTGCAAAGCATCCGGAACGTCTTGCCGTGGTTAAAAATCATTTTCAAACAAGTTTAACTAAAATGTATCGCGTTTTAATCCGTTAAAGTGTTTTTTTTTTTAATATAGAACGCAATAGAAGTTTGATTCGATTTTGCTTATAGAAAAATGAAATGTATGTAAAATTATAACCTTACATTAATATTGCTTAATAAAAGCAAGAAACAGCAAGACCGCCAAGAAGACATTTTTAATATTAATTTCGACTCGGTACAATAATTGTCTTTTATACATAAGTATATCACAATTCGATATAATTTTTATCGATTTAAGCAATAATGACATCACTATATCAAAAGAATCAGACGCAATACATTGTGTATTCGTTACGTAACGCGTTATAATTGCAAAGAATTTTGCGTCTTTTCAATTTCGTTTTGTAATTGTATATATGTGAAAATATAAAACGGCTCAGCTGTTCAATTGTTAGATTTGTGTTGTGTTTGGACTGGAGATGATACGCGTTACGAAAATAAAACTGGGCAGTTCCTGGCTTTGACCCGCGACTTCGTTTCCCTGAAAGAGTTTCATGCAAGTCTTATAAAATATTGCTTGATGATTTTTTTCTTACCTGTATTTAAAAAAAATGTGCATATTACCCCAGGACAATTCTAATTATTTGTTACTTTTTTAACCGCGGAGATTAGTATAATAGGAGACAAATAAAATTGATTTCTATGTAGTTAATCTTTAAAATTAATATTGCGTGATTATATTAGGTGACCTGGCAAACGTTCTTTTGCCATATTTCGAACCCGACGTTTCGGATGCTTTGCAGCAGCCGTCTCCCCGTGACCACGGCTGCTGCGAAGCATCCGAAATGTCGGGCCGAAGTTAAAAATCATTTCCAAATAAGTTTAACTAATATATCGCGTTTTAAACCGTTTAAGTGTTTTATTTAAATGTGTACTATTTGCGTAAATTATAGACAGTATTTAGACTAAAGCCTTTCTCTGTACATGGTCTATTCAACAACAACCAGTAGTTCTCGAGGTTGGCGCGTTCAAACCTACAAACTTCTCAGCTTACTAATGTTGCTAAGACTTGCTAAAAGTGCTTCAAACGCCTTGGGTTCGGTGTGTACGCGGTTTGTTCTAGACAGAGCGTATGGCGTTAAAATAAGACACAGTAAACGGTTTATGTTAGTTTATTTACATAATTCTTATTAAACGTCGTGGGCACACTTCTATGAGTATAATTTGATTTAATGTCAATTAAACATAGTGCTCGACCGAAATTCAATACGTGTGTTCGTTGCGATTATTATTTCAATATAATTCACGAGCCCGTTTCAGAGCTCGGTCGACCGTAATCACATGTATTTTCGGTCGGTTAAGCTTTGAAAACGGCCTTAATACTGTATTCTGGTGGAAAACATGATTAGATTTTCATTACAGTACAAGTTAATAACGAATTATTACTCTGAAATTATGTGTATAAAAAGTAGACATAAAAACAGGTTTCATTAAACTATGTGTAAACCAATAGACTAAACCATTGTTTACCACAGGTAATAAGTAATATTAGTTAAATTAGTTTTAATTTTGATAATTATGACCCGACGTTTCGAATGCTGAGCAGCGTCGGTCGCATCGGGTCGTAGTAATATGAAAAAAGGTAACTATTTAAATAAAACACTTTAACGGTTTAAAACGCGATAAAATTTAGTTTAACTTATTTGAACATTATTTTAACAACGGCCCTTTTAATTAATACTAATTTATATCACATTTTAAACCGTTAAATTGTTTTATTTAAATGTGTAATATTCGCGTAAACTACAGACTATACTTTAATTTTTATCTGCGATTAATAGCAGAATATATGGCAGGAACTGTCTTATATCCCGGCCCTGTCTGGCGTATGGCATTGGTCCGTATGGTATATATGGGGTCTGGTACGGTGGTAGCAAGGCTGGAACACCATTTGAACACCCACCATAGCTGCAGGCATTTGTGTCTGTTATCTTCGGACATACAGATTCAAAATGTATTGTTTTCCTCGCTTATAATTAATATTTTTTCAATACATAGTCTATTAAATACCTTGGAAATACGTACGACCAAACGTAATTTAACGGTATAACGGCTAACATTTAAATGTATTTATTAAAAACCAATCACACATAAATGTTATATGGCTAGGATATTTCACACTCCGTAATCACACACACAAATAATATTTTTAAAGGTCATATCAAACCACAGATTATAACTATCACAGGTTGATTGAGCTAGAAATATTTTTTTTTATTTATGGTTTATAAAACTTCCATACTTTTATCGAATAATAAAAGCCAACTTACATTAAAGAATACAATAGCGATGAAAGAGATAACCCAAGCCGCTGATCCCATCTTGTAAATAGTACGGACTAAATGTAAATATAGGAATATGATGCAAGATTTGCTAATTTATACTAGCTCCACATAAAGATATATTAGCTCTTGTTTTATACCACCAAACAGGTGTTTTCGATTTTTCAAACAAAGCTAATTAAATGAATCATTTTGAACATAGATAAAGCAATCTCAAGCTAGTACGTGCGCGTTGTAGGTACTTTACATACGTCTTTTTCCGATTTCGCGAATCATTGTGTTGGAACTCCTGGGTTCAAATCCCGGAAAAACGATAATTCTTTTCCGTTCTATTCCGAGCAGGGTACAGTAAAAATGAATATCAACTTGCCTTATGTACACGGTAGTGTGAGTAAACAGATAGGTATTAAATATTTTAAATTATAGAATAATAATCCAATTTAAATAAAACACTTAAAACTGTTTAAAATGCAAATATAAAGATATATGTATAATATAATTTTATTGTTTCACTTAGAACTTAGCAATAGCTAAATATCTGTAGCGCCGTAGTTAAAAATTGTTATAAATACATTTCACGTTTTTATCGTTAAAAATTTAAATAAAACACTTTTAACGGTTTAAAAAGCGATATATTAGTTAAACTTATTTGAAAATGATTAAACTTCGGCCCGACGTTTCGGATGCTTTGATTAATATATCGCGTTTTAAACCATTAAAGTGTTTTATTTAAATGTGTACTACTCGCGTAAACTATAGACAGTATCGTTAAAAGTGTTTTATCTAAAGTCATTTAGATAATAATAATAATAGTTTAATAAAAAACATTCCCTTTTAAACTACTTTTAAATAATTTTATGTAATTTAGTAATGTAACGACTAATAAAAAAATAGGTCACTCTTCCTCTTCCTTAACAGTTCCATCATTGTACTCCAAAGATTCGTTGTGACTTTCATCACTAACATCTGGAATAACATTCTTTAGCTTTCCCGTTCTCTTAGGTTCTCTAACATTCCTTACAGTCTCTTCTTCATTCGAGAACACATCTATCTCAGGTCCATCTTCACTAAGAGGATATTTCTTCTGTTTCGAATAACCGCTAGTGATTTGGGGGCTACTGGTCCGTTTCTTCTTACATTCACAATTGCATGACCGACAGGGGCAATTACAATGGCTACTCTTCTCTTTCAACAAATTAAGAATGATTGGTAGTAAGGTCTTTAGACTGGAAGACTGAGACGGCTCGTTATAAGCTGGCGTGATAAACGAGCTCATTGGATTGTAATTAGATATAAGTCTGTACGGACCTTGTTGCAGTACAGACTCGTAGTTCTGACCATAATTTGAAATGTATCCCGGATAAGAAAACGCATTTACAGGATTGGAAGTAACACCATTTGGTATCACGTTGTAAATATTTTGTGGAGTTCCCTGGACGTTAAATGGTATGTTCCTTGGTGGTGAACTCTGGGTTACAATGTTTGGTGTTACAAAGTTTGGTGCAACGGATCCTAGTGAGCTGGAAAATGTTGGCTGTGGTGTAGTTAGAGCGTATTGCATTGGTAATGAAGGTGGCTCGGTCTGCTGACAAGGCAATTGTGACGGTAGATTCGTTATCATGGGTGACGGAATGGTGTAGGTTTGCTGGACTTGGGGAGGTGAATCAAAAGAGTGACTTGAAGATACTTGACCATTGCATGTTGGCGTTTGTGTTATAATATGTGGCACACTGGACTGTAGAATAGGTTGTTGGTGCATTTGCGGTGAAAACATAAACTGAGGCTGGTTACTGATTTGTGGTAGGGCCATCGGTTGCTGTCCAGGCTGCTGACTACCTTGAGGTTCTGGTGGAATCCGCATATTTTGTGAATTCAATATCTGCTGAGCGTTTATCAGTTGTGACTTCGCGGTTTTTCCGTTTTCGTCTTGCGTTAAGTTGTTCGAGAAACAAAGCGGTTTATTCTGTCGTGATGGTATATCTGATATTCCATGCTGTTTCTTGAAGTTTTGATGATTGAGAAAAGTGGTTTGCTGGCCATAGCAGATCTGTAAAAGACGAAAAATTATAACTAGTAAAGTAAGTAAGTAACACAACTACAGTTAATATGGTAGGTAGTAAGATTATTTACGTATGTATTGAGATATATCAGGAACGATGTTAGAAATATGGCGGACGCCATCGTTAATATAAAAGGAATGCGCATTTTCCCCTTCCGTACTAACGGTTATATATTTTGTATGAGATGTTTTGTAATACGTCGCTGATAAAAATCATTGGAGATAACGTGCTTACTGGTTACATCAATTGCATATTCATATTTTATCACGTTTGATGTTTATCAATGATTTGAGATTACATCATTTTATCATTGTCATTTTGCTCTTTATAATGTTTAAATTAAAATCCCCGGTTTGCATTTTCAAGGAGCTAATTACTGTAATAAAACACATAGATGATTTCAATAACTTAATATATTATACGAAAGAAATAGGTGACGATTTTCAACCATCCCTAATTTTCTTATTTCATCGATCATCCGTAATATGCCAGCAGGGTCGTTTTATTTTAATATGTGATTTCTCCCGATTCGGCAACAACCAACGGTGTATACTTAATATCATAATTATCTTCTTCTGAGACATAGCTTTCATAAGAACCGTCCGTCGTATTGTTTGGAGTAGTTGGAGTATTAGTATTATTACTTCCAGCATTGCTTGTGCTATTAGCAGCATTGCTTGAAGGCATATTTGGCTGTCTCAAAATGACAGGACAGTTCGTGGGAAACGGAATAGGATAGGGTATAGGAATAGTTCGCTTTGTTGCTCCTCCATTGCAGCAACTACAGTAGTTTGGAGTATTATAACCCATATAACCGTTGTGCCTCCGTCCCATATGCCTTTGTCTGGCTAATAGTAACACTGTTAGTATAAGACCGAGGTCGTCATCGTCGTCGTTGCCACTTGGCAGGCCGCCATAACCCGGATAAAACGCTTGACACGATATCTCTTCCTGAAAGTGCAAATAGATTAGAATAATTATAAAGATAATTGCAAGTCCTTAATTAGTTATACTTAAAGTTTGGTAATAATAAAATTTTCAAATATTTATATATCTATATGCAATCCATATAAATAATGCAATAAATCATAGAAAAACACTAACAAATACGAAACATATATATAAAACACTTTTAACGGTTTAAAACACGAAATTTTAAACGGTTTTATTCTACCGTGAGCTTACATGATTTTATTCGATTTTTTATTGAAAATATAATAACTCTCGTAAAGTACAGACAATACTAAAAGCAATCAGCTGTTAAAACTTTGACAATCTTCAACGCTTTTGAATATGCCATTAATTTATGATACAGTACCTGTATAGAAGTCACTGCAACGAAAATTATAAGACAACAATTACTGATAAGAATTTTCATCACTAAGTCGCGAATAAAATTTGCAAATTGAGTTTTAGACTGTCCGCAAACTACTATCGATTGAGCGTGGGTTCTAGGTTTTATTCTTACGCAGTTGCGTCACTACATAAATCTTCTATCTAATCTGATCAGTCTCATTACAAATTACGCACGTGTCTATAGAATAAACATTAGCGTAACGCCAGTTTACTATGTTTTAACCAGTGACAATAATTATTATTTTAACTATTATAGACGGGATAAGGTTCTTTATATTACAATTAAATATAATCAACGCTTATATTTACTTCGATTTTATTAACATACATCAAATTTGAGAAAATAAGTTAAGTTTGTTATTTTAAAAGTAATTACTAATGATCTTGTTCATCTTCGTCTTCTTTGCTACTCTTCTCTTGGTGCCGTTGAGATTTGGATCTACATCGCCCTGAACTGTTAACAATAGCATTGTTTATAGGAAAGGGGATGGGATACGGTATGGGAACTACGTTTTTACTTCCACCATTACACGGGCAGCAGCAATTGCAGTTGCAGCCACCGTAACAATCTCTGTCATTCGCAAACAGAGCAACTAAAATAATTGGCAACAAATTGCTTAAGGAATCCGATCTATCTACTACAATGGGCGGATGGAAGAATGGTGGGAAGGGACTTTGGGGCATAACAGGTTCTTGTACTGAACGCTGACTGACGGGCGCCGTCACTACAGTTACTTGTGGGGGGGAGACGCTTTGAGCTGGTACGTTGATTTGTAAATTTACAGGTACACTGCTTTCATTTGGATCGTTCGATATTTGAATACACGGACTTGTTGTCGCTGGGACTCCGTCAACGTCGATATTTTCATTTTCTGCTAGCGAAGGATTCTCCAAAGTAACCGGTGTCGAGAGCGTTGCTGGTATAACTTCTTTTCGAGCTGGTTGATATTGCCACGTATCAGGCACTCTATATACGGGTTGGGCTTGCCAAGTTGCAGGTATTGGTTGAACAATACCTGAACTGGGATATATAGAGGGATTGTCTACTCGCACAGCCTGAGATGCCGGACACACGTACGATTGTGTCGGCCTAGGCGTGAATGTAGTTTGCAAGAGGGGGGTGTAAGTCGGATGGGGGGGCAATAGGAACAGGAGCCATTATCTGCTGAGGTTTAGTACATGGTGATGGTGATATAATTGGTTTTCCTGTGACGACTACAGGTTCTTGAGAAGGTTGATTCTGGTTGAGCTGTATTAGGTTCAACGTTTTTGGAACATCTTTTGGCGTCTCGCTGGTTAAAGATGGTTGAATAATGGGCAATAGCTGAGGAAGAACACCGTTAGCTGCAGCTACAGTTAATAATGTGTTCATCAACTGTGATCTGGTTGAGACATTGTTTCCTGAACTCAGCTCCTTGTTCTCATAATTATTTGATATTGGGCCCCCAGATATTTCGCAATGTACTGCACCCTGTAAAATAATATTCTATCAGTATGACAGATTCAGAGCATCCGAAAGATAGGGTCGTAGTTAGAATTAAATTAACTAATATATTTCCAGATTCAAACCGTTAAAAGTCCCGCAGTGATATTTAATAAATTATATAAAACTTACACTCAAAAACGATAGTAAATTGAGACATAAAATTGTCCAACTAAATGACCAACCCATTTCGAACAGTCATTATTTTAACTTTCGTTTACTTATATAACACACATATAAACATTATCTCGTCCAATTTTGTCACAACACGATAATAATACAACTTATCAAAATTGGGAAATGCATATCGAATATTAGGTAATATTCGGTATTACAACCGATTTCATTATGGAATGTTGCTGCTAAAATATACACAAGACCGCAAGAGGCAGAGTAGCCTAACTGCAATTTTATGACTTGACTTATTTATATTTATTATCTAAAAATCTTAATCTACAAGAGCACAATGACCGAAAATTGTTTAATTCTTACAGAAATAACAGCACAAATTCATTCTCGACTAAGATAATTGCGCATTTCCATGAATACCATGTTCCTTGTTATTAGACCACTCTACCTCTAGTAGCCTTAAGTTATATTTATTGTACTGAACTATCTTCTTATTCATTTCTAAACAAAGCCAAAATAGCTTGACACGGCATTATAGGTCTGGGGCGTGAACTCCGACTCTCAAACAAATTACAAAATTTGGAAAAACTTAATATGAACCGAATAACTATTCAAACATAAAGACGATTTTTAATTACCATTAATAAACTAGAAGTAAATCTTAAGAAGCCTTTTTTATAATTTTATCATAGAGGAGAACAGACAAGTATGGATTCATCTAAACACTTTGAACCCTTTTGAATGCCAAAGTCTGAAAACGAAACACGATTAGACTTAACTTTATCTCTGGACGATGTTGCATGACTGACTGATTTTTCTACCACTCACTATATATCCAGATTTCTATGCGAAGTCCAACATGTTTTGGAAAAATTTAAAAATGTCTATAGTTTACGCGAGTAGTACACATTTAAATCAAACACTTTAACGGTTTAAAACGCGATATATTAGTTAAACGTATTTGAAAATGATTTTTAACAAAAAATCATTAAATCGTTAAAAATCATTTTCAAATAAGTTCAACTAATATATCGCGTTTTAAACCGTTAAAGTGTTTTATTTAAAAAAATTGAAAAATACTGGACCCAGTGCGGTTCGAACCCACGACCCGTTATTTATTAATAAATAATATTCTGGGATATTTCCACTAAGATTAAGTAAACTCTATGCTTGCCCTCTATTTAAAAAAAAATAATGATTAGAAATTGGACCCGGTGGGAATCAAACTCACGATTAATAGCCATACATGTCACCATGGCACAAAGGAGTCAGTCATATATTTTATTTTCAAAGCAATAAATACTATTTTTGCGTACATATTTTCCACTTTAATAAATAGAGAATGCCTTTTAAGAGCGTATAGTTAAGTGATAACAACATCCTCACTCCCATCAGCGGCGCTGTTGATGCCCAAAAAGGCTTGTCGCTACACCAGTACTGCCATATTAGTATGTTGCGGAATGTCTTGATAAACAGTTCCTCATTTAAAACAGTTTTCACAGTCTAAGAAGCCAAATGTATTCTTAGCGGTTTTACAATTTTATATAACTACGCTCCCCCGTGGCCACGATGCTATAAAACTTCCGGAACATCGGGCAAAATTGTAAATAAGTTTAAAAGTGTTTTACTTCTTTCCTAATATAATGAAAAGGGGAAGCCCGTTTCGTTTCCTTTCCTGTTTAGTTTCCTGAGGCACGGAGCGGACACAATTATATGTTGGTTTCAGTAATCGATTTTATATAAAGGTATGGAAATCCTTAGTTATGTCAGGCGCGAGATAACCTTTTGAATTTTTTAACCCTGGAACGAGCTTATAGCATTCATAGCTAGACGATATAGTTTTATTCATCTAAGGCATTTTAATTTTATAAAATTAAAAATAAGTACAAAAGTTTACTACTAACTAGTCTCAAATTTTGTATCTTTCAAAATACCATAAAAACTGTAGAAAATAATTAATAAATGTATGTGCACTTCAATGATATTTAACTATATAGTAAAATCCCGTTTCCCCGTGGGGCATGGGGCGAACATATTTCTGTGACTGTTTCACAGATGATGTTTATTTACAGGAAAGAAGTTGATCAGACTTCTGAGGCCTGACCGAAACAATTCACTGTTTCACCGGGATACGAACCCGGGACCTCTCACTCTTAAAATGCTTCTTTTCGGTCGTATCTCTCTTGGCAGAGAGGTCATGATCGTCATGTAGTATTGTAGGAAGGGGTAGATCGTATTCGCTTAACTGTTTCGCGTCACTTCTCCCGGAGTAATTCTGCTACATTCGTTCAAAGTATTCAAATGCTAGGCAACACGCTTAACCACTTCGCTACAGAGGCGGTCAAAACATTTAAATATATAAACTTATATATTATTCTTTATAGTACGTACATACTATGCTGAAGGACACTCGTTTTCAAGAGGTATTTGAGACTTCCAAGTCAAATTGTTCGCTTCCCAGCTTTAATATAAAATGCATTTATGCGTGAGTCTCTCTTTGTATTTGGTCTTCTCTCTTGAGAAATTGTTATTCAACAAAAAAGCAATGCACGATGAAAACATGTGAAGTGATACGATCACTTTACGTACGTTTATTTAGACATTTAAGAAAATTAATGACCTGGTTCTAGAGTCTCTGATATTTCTTTGGTGAAAAAAGGTGCTTTTAAAAGAAAATCTATAAAAATATAGTAGCGCTCTTAAAAAGTTAGGATTTTCGTCTTAATTTTCAAAGTAAAGAAATCTTTATTAATGCAGGTAATGAGGTACGCTGAAAGTAACACCAGTTACAAACTAAAGATATATACTATCAGTTTGGGAGATATAAATACACATAGTATTACTACAACAATACGCAGTATTGTACAACATATACAATAATTTTAAATAAAACACTTTAACGGTTTAAAACGCGATTAGTTAAACTTATTTGAAAATGATTTTTAACTTCGTCCCGACGTTAAATAAATCGAAATAACGCGTTTTAAACCGTTAAAGTGTTTTATTTAAATATGTACTACTCGCGTAAACTATAGACAGTATTTTATATACAATACTATTTATTATAGTGTAGTAGCAACTCCACTTAATAAATTAAAATACTTTTAGCGAGTGTTGCTAATTTTGTGAAACGTCGCGTTGTTAAAAGTAAACGAGTTTATATTTGTTTTTACTGAGCCATTAAAAGTGTTTTAGATTATAAATAATTATTTTAAGCCCATTTACATTTGTATTGTCGTCTCCTTGTGTCATTTGTATACGCAAGTGGTATGAATTAATTTATTTTTAACGAAAAGTTTAAAGCATCCAAAAATCGTCTGTATTTTAGATTTTGTTGTTGCTATTATTTTCCAGTGTATGTAAACCGGCATCCCATATGGGCGAGGCTTTGCTGACAAGTAAACGAGTCGTGGGTTTGGTCCCCACCGCTGTCATATTTTTAATTGATTCTTAATGTTTGAAAATCTTAAATGTATGGTATCTATATATAATATGGAAATTCCGTCCAGATCGCGACCCATCGTCGTTAATTTGCAGTTTGGGTCCTAGTCTGTGGACTCTCGGACGTCCAAATCGAAAATAGATCGACAGAGCATCATGTACGTTTTATGGCTGGGGTATTTACCCTTCCATCAAGTCCTTGTCTGTCCTCCGTTATAAAAAAATGACACGTGGTTCGCTTTGACGCGTTGGGTTATTGCTCCCGCGCACAGGTGCCTTATCGGCCACACCGCTCTTATCTAGTATTGTGAAATTTACGTATTAATAAAGACATAATTGTGTAATATCAGCGCGTACGTGTCCTTTTCACTTTCCGCTCGACACCTTGCATGTGGAAAATATTTTATAGTGATGTGACACTCCACTTTTGTGACCTCTAGTGATGTAGATAACATATGTGCTATCTAAAATATACCTCATTAGTGTTTAATATTTGCAACTATAGTGCGCGCGCGACGACGTCGAACATGGATGCGTCATTTAAATGAGGAAAAACAAAAGACGATCTATGTCTAAGAAAAAAAAGTCTAGAAAGAGGAGAAATGGGGTATGTTAGTAGCATAGATATATACTGATTTGATATATGTCAATCAAAGCATATAAAAATCTTTATTACAATGTATAACCTAAATTGTCTTAATATTGTACTTTAATACGCCTGTCACAATATCTTCACGAATAAACGTTATTGAAAGCTGCAATAGTTGGTTACAATAATAGAGTATTTCGTTTTACGAGAGGAGTTCCGGGTTCAAACTCTGTGCTAAATTCGATCAGACACGGCACAAAAGTCCGCTCAACCACTTATCTGGAAACACTTAGATGCTTCATAAGTGATATTAAATCAAAGATTTTTTTAACAACAAACATTTCACAATTTTGAAATTTTACTTTACTGCTACGCTAGCGCCATCTGTCTCCACTTCATTTATATCTGCAAGTAAACTGTTGAAAAGTGTTTTATTTATTGTATGTATCTCTTGTCTATACTTTATGCGAGTTATACAGATTTTAAAACATTTCTATTGGTTCAAAATACGAAATATACAAGTTTACTTATAAGTATTTACGACGCATGTGTAATGGCCATGTGCACATTTTTCATTATGTATCAACTTTTATAACATCAAAAAGCCAAGTACATACAAATCAGGACAAATTATGACGCAGTTCAAGTCAGCTGAGTGACTGTGGAGATGGAAACAGGCCACTATTGTTCAACTCATGAGTTCACAGGGTCGAGACACACAAATATATATGTTAAATACATATACAAACAAAGGGCAGACAGAATGTGTATTTAAAAAGAACATTAAAATAATTAAATTAAACATAAATGTATTATTTAAATAAAACACTTTAACGGATTAAAACGCGATATATTAGTAAATCTTATTTGAAAATGATTTTTAACTCCCCGTGACCACGGCTGCTGCAAAGCATTCGAAACGTCGGGCCGAAGTTAAAAATCATTTTCAAATAAGTTTAACTAATATATCGCGTTTTAAACCGTTAAAGTGTTTTATTTAAATATGTTCCACTCGCGTGAACTATAGACAGTATATAAATGTATTATTATTAATAAATGCAATACTTTTAAAAGATTTTATACTAAAAAAGGTTTTTTAAAGCATGAAATACAATTTTTAAATCGAATTTATAAAGACATTTTTTTGAAACAGGCAGAACTTGAAACGGCATCTACAGCGCTCCGTTCTGTTGCTCCAAGCAATTAAGCTACTTATCAATTCTCATGCTTAATTGGTTAAAGTAAGACCGCAGTACGCTGTGGATTCCGGTTCAAGTCTTGCCTGTGTCATAATAATTAATTCAATTTAAAATCTATTTTTATTTCATATAATGTCATCGTGTGCATATGTGAAAAATATTTAAGTTTTAGTTTTATATTAGTTAATCTATTTTAACTACGATTGGCAAATAGATCATGGTATCTATACAGAAAGTTTATACCAGCACAAATTGCTAACTTGTTTACTTTTATTGGGCTAATGAAGAGACTTATATAGCGTCGCAGGCGCATGTTTTAAATACTTCACTTCGACTCAACTTAAAATAGCTGTGAAGAGTAAAATATTACAGTTACTTGAAAGTTCTAAATACAAAACTGTAAGTAAAGTTTACAATTAAACTTTACGTACAGTTGAGTTAACTTCTTGGACTTCCGACCGTTGAAAATCCACGAACTGAAACGAAAAATTTTCACTTCACCCCGAGGGTTCGTGACTTAGATATCCGATATTCTTTCCACCCGTTTAATATTCAAATACAGTCAGAGGCAGACAGTAACATGTGTCTGAAAAGAAAAAAATAATTTTTAAAAACATATTGGACTCGCTAACAATCGAATCTACGACTTCTTGATTTAATACATAATAAATTAAAAATTGAAAAAAATTACGACTCGGGCAGGACTTGAACCGGCATCTACAGCGTTCCGTGCTGTTGCTCTAACTAATCGTCGTCTATTGTGTTATACATGCACCTCTCGCGCAATAACTTTAGTGCCACCATGTGCAAAATATAAACACACACATGTGAAAAATGTTAAAGTTTTTAACACATATTGTCGCTTATGTATGTACGCGTTCTACAGTTCCTGAACATAGGTAATGACATTCATGACGTAGGTATATACTTTTTTCTGTGTAACTTGGCTAAGTTGTCGTTTTGTCATCGCGTCAATATTTGCGTCATAATTGCGCATGAGGTGGTAAACTATAATATAGGAAATATTAACCGCTATTTATTCAACGATAAAGGATTGTCCAAGGTTATTTGTTCGTTTTGGATGGAGTCGGAACTATAAAAGTGAAGATTCCGATATAAAAGGCTTCGGACTCGAAAAGGAAATAAAAGAACGAATTAAATAGTAACCTGAAGTATTTTTTTTAATAGAGCATAGACAAGCATGGTTTAACAAGATGCGCTGCCGGCCCATTCTGGCTTTAGATATTCGGAACTCCACACTGTAACCGAATCGCGATTGCACATGACAAGAGCAATTGAGGCTGCTAGAGCCAGAGTGGCCTAATAAAAAAAATGACTTAATAAGGAGGAAAATAAAAACGCGCTGTTGCCTTAGGCGTGAAACTATTATTTGTGTAAGAGTTATGCTAACAATTCTCGGTCACTGCTCTTGCAGATAACATTTCTAGACTATGAAAATATAAAAGTCATAAAAATTGAAGTTAGGCCACTTTGGCTCTAGCGGCCTTAATTTATCTTAGTTAATTTCTGTAATACACTTTAGAAAGTGTATAAACACGCGTTATCAATTTTCATTATACCACAATTTTCATACGGAAGAGTTACGCTAATAGGAAGTTTCATTAAATCAAGGAAAGTTGAACGGTCAATATGATTGATGGAACTTGATGCGGGCTCTATAAAGTGTATTAATAAAGATTGATGCATAGTGATGAATATTTTCGCTCCTCCCGTATAGCTTACGCGTGTAGTACACATTTTAACGGTTTCAAACGCAAAAGTTTTAAACACTTCAAAGTGTTTTCCCGTGACCACGGCTGCTGCATAGCATCCGCAACGCGGAACGTAGTTTAAATAATTTGTTAAAAAAAATGTTTGCTTTATTTAAAGAGTACACTCGTAGAGGCAACCTTCGTTATCTTTAGAAAATAACATTTATTACAAAATCATGACCCCTTTGTCCTCGCCACAGCCGGGTAAAAAGTTGCAGGAGAGAGCTAGTTTTATTTACATATATATATTTTATTGATTTACAATCCTTGGCACTCACACAGGACACGTAAGAATCAGACAGTACCGTATTGCGTATAATGTTACTTGTCTGTATTTTAAATAAAACATTTTTAAACAGTCTAAAACACGAACTATAATAATAGTTTAATTAAATAAAGAATTTGATGTGTCGCATGCTGATTTCAGTAAAATAGCTATTAATAATTCTTAGCTATGATATTATTTTAAATACAGTTGAAACACAAAAATAGCAAAGCATCCGATATGAAACGTCAGGACTGGTAGTTAAATTAAATGAAAATATAAGATACCATTGTATAATTTGCATTTTAAACCGTAAAAGTGTTTCATTGAAATGTGTACTCGCGTAAACTACAGACAGCATTTGACTAAAGATCTATTATAATAATACACTCTAACATTGTTAGGTAATAAATTATTGTATAATATTTATTTTGGTCCAAGAAGAATTGTTCCTTACCAGACATATCGCAGACAGGCTTAATTCAAAATGGCAGACGATCAATGGTTGCCATGGTAACGCGTCGGGTTCTCTGTGTGCGTGCGTGCTGAAATCAGATGAATTGACAACAAACAGTAGCGGAATCAAGACTTGGATAAAAGTTGATAATTTAAACTAACATGTTGCGATAAGGACGAAAATATTTCAAATAATAATATGTGGGATTATGTTCTCTTAAAATGGGTTTAGATCATACCAAATTCGCGCACAATAAAAAATTTTAGGTCCCGATTCATGCCCGTTTAAGAATGTACACATTTTATATAATTAGTTGTGCCCGCGACGTCGTCCGCATAGAATATTTATTTTGGGCACCATATTATTTATTTTGCGTGCTAAGTAACACTGTTAGTGTATATATATATATACTCTCACGGAAACTTTCATAGGCCATTTTAAGCGGAATCATTCTTTTATACAAACTTTTTGGGTATCGGAAACACACGAAGGTGAGTGTTTCCCCGTATTTTCCAGGTTTCCCAAAATGTTCTCTCATATTAGCCACAGCGCGATATTTTAAAGCCAATAAATAGCCTTTCTCGATAAATGGTCTAGCCAACACAAAAATAATTTTTGACCCAGTAGATGAGTGAGACTAGCACGTTCAAACAAACAAAAAACACTTCAGCTTTATATATCAGGATAGATTTCCAAACGTTCTTTGAATTATTGAAATTAATAAAAAAATGCTTTCTTTTTTCCTACATGGGGCAGACACATTATTGTCTGTTGAGATACAACATACAAATTTTACATTAAGAATTCTGAATGTCAACTTTATCAAATATAATAATCGAACGAGCCGTCCTCAACCTAGATTTTACGGTATATATGCGAATTTAGCGAAAATACATTTTCAGAAGCTATCAGCGACGGGTCGTTCAAGATCCGTTTTTCGTTTACGACTGAGTAAATATTTAAATTTTACTGAATAATGTAACAATCCATTTACTGTAATTTTATTTTCTTAAAATATGCCTTTATTTAGACAACCTCAAATCAAATACAAATACAAATTCTTTATTCACCAAAACTGTGTACATATCATACGTTACGTACGTACGTAACCTATATTAAACGATTAAATAAAACCCTTTTAATGCTTTAAAACTAAATACTTTTTAACGGTTTAAAACGTGAAATGTAGTAGTTATATATAGAATGTATAGTAAATAAGTTAACTAATACATTTCGCGTTTTAAATCATTAAGTGTTTTATTGTAATTTTGTACTAGTTAACTTAATTTTAACATCATTTAACGTGGCAGAAGCGCTTGGCCATGGTAAAATTAAATTAAAAGTAATCATAATGTTTCGCGTTTAAAACCGTTAAAAGTGTTTTATTTGAAGACAGATACTGATTTTTTCACCTCCTTTAATGTCAAAACATGATAAGTCTTCATCGTGTTTCGACATTAAATGACTATCACTATCCCCAAACCCCAATTAATAAAGGTAGATATGATTCTTATAAAAATTACTTACTAGAATAAATACGATAGCTTGTATGATTAATTTATAAGATTCTATTCCTAACATCGAAATGTATTTAGTCCCTATTTAGTAATTTATCCTGTATTCAGAACAGTAACGCACACAAACCCACATGGTCCATCAATCAGAGCTATCGGCCATTGCCGCATCCCGATTTGGTGTGGCGCACAAACGTATACCAACTATTTATAGAGGCCGGTCGCCGCTCCGCGCCGCTTTCGTTTTATAATTATAGACTGCGGAATAACGCGATTTGAAGCTACTGTGGATTTTGAATCGATACTTAGAATCAACATGTATGAGCTTTTATACAGCTTACAAATGATACTATAATATACATACACATACACCATGAAATAGGCGCATGATTAGAAATACATCGTGGTTGTCAAAAAGGACGCGAAACTTGTAAAGTAAATGCCCGATTCGTCGGGGAAACAGATTTCTGTGTCTGCAAGAAGTTTATCAGACTTTTATGTTCTGACTGACTTCAGAAACAACTTAATGTTTTCCCGGGAACTAACTCAGGACGTCCAAACGCAATGCTAGACAAGCTATTGGGCAGACTTGGTTGTGGATACGTGTATATCTATTTAAATTGTATCGTTCGAACCACAAAGTACACAAATTACCAAAGGAGTACTGAAACACACATGACCATTTATAAATATATTTTTTACGCAATGAAATTTCAACTTTAACATTTACAAGTTAAGTGATTACATACTATTGGTACATTAGCTGTGGATTCGAAACCTACCAGAGTACATTTTATACTTCAGAAATCTTTATATCATAAAGAAAAACTACTATTTAAACAGCTAAGCGACAAATGCGTTTTTATAAATGAAGCAAGACTATTTTCCTCTCGAACCCACAAGCAACATCTTGACATAATTTTCTTTGAACACAAAGCACTTTCCAGAAGGCACTACGCTATTCGGAGCAGTGAAAAAGTAAAAAACTAAAATAATTCATGTTTCTTTTAGCATTTCGACTGCGCTTTTACGGTTATACTAGGTTTAAATCTACAATACACAACTAAAATTTAAATATATAACTACACTAATAATTTAGCATTATTTTTGTGACTGTGTATGTTAAATACTATTAAATTTTATTTAATAATAATTTTAAAAGGGCGTAAGTATTTTTAGAATTGTAATTAGAATTACAATTTTATAAATTACATGCAAAATAAATATAAAAATAATCCATGTATGCATTATATTATTTAATTTAAAAAATAATATAGATATACTCTAGGAATTTATATTCCCACGGACATTTAGTCTAGTGTCTATGAGTCTGAATGAAGTCTTGATTTTTTATCTATGGTTAGAGACAAAAGATCAAATATGGCGGCAAATTTAAACTTGCGGGATATATAGTCTGTTGAAAAACTATTTTGTTATCGTGCGTTTAAGTAAAGATTTACAACAATTTTCAGGGAAATAGGGCAATCTGATATTGAGGTCAAGGAGAACGGACGGTTATAACGTTATTTGATAGACACGTGATTTGGTCGGCTAACGATCATGGGCAGCTATAAAAAGACCATATTAGTGGAATAGGTGGGTCGACAGTCGACACGAGCATCAATTTATTATCCTAAATAAAGAAGATTGATTTACAAAAAAATATTCGGGGCGAAACTGTGAAAGTTGCCAAATATAATCGAAATCATAAATGTACACACAAGATATATATTTGTTAATTTAATAACGTTTCGGATGCCTGCTCGCGTAAATTACAGACAATTTTTCTGTAGTTTACGCTTTTGTTAAGTACACAAACAAATAAACAAAACAATTGAACAATGTAAAAAGTACTTAAATACACATATTTTGAATAAAATAGTGTAGGTACGTGAAAACTTGCTGACTATATGAGACAAGATAGATCAAATTCATATTAATACTAGCTGTGTTAGCGAGTTCGTCCGCAAGAATCGTTATTTTGGGCATCCAAATTCGTCGCGAACCCCTTCATCTTTTAAAAATTAAGCTGTTACCCATGACGTCGGTTGCGTCCCTTCCCGTCGTTCCTGCAAGTTAATATTCAAAGATAGACCATATAGCGTCTTTTCGGCGTTTTTTTTTTAGATAAAAAAAAGGTAAAGAGAAAAACCCTAAACTTTTAGCTTTGGCTTGTTTGAATCGCGTACATAAGTAAATGTTTAGTTATATATTTCGCGTTAGTTAGACATTTCGAATGCTTTGAAGCAGCGAATAATAACATTAAATCAATAATCATTCATAATATCAAATTCAAGTCACTTTTGTTTACTTCACACGCGATACATATTCTTTCGAATCCCATTAAAATCCATCTTGTATTTTAAACAGTGCAGTTGAGCCATCTAGAACAAACATACCTACGTTACAAAATCCCCATTATATTGTGTATTGACTAAATAAATTTACACTTACGCAAAGGACATTTCTATAAAAACTGTACGACCTTACTAACGAAATATGATTCCCGTCAACAATTAACTTTGGTCCCAATTCCCGCTCGAATCAGTCCCACGCCAGCGCATTTATACCCACGTCATTCGAAGTACACTTGGTCAAATAAATATTACACATTTATGTAAACAGAATGGGTTATTTTCATATGCACAGTAAAATTATTTTTATTATAAGCGTGTGAATATTGTGTCGAATATATTTCATTAAAGCAAAGTCTTCTTTCCCTGTTTCTTGTAAGTCTTGCCTTTTTCGTGCCTTTAAACATTATACTAAGCAAAGCTTAACGAAAATTAAATAACAATATTTAGAACCACATCGGCGATTTTCGTCTCGCGCATTTAAGATGAGCAATGAATCGACCTTTGGTTTTAACCTCGGATAAAGGCTGGTTTAGTGGTGGATCCTCAACTGCAGATTACGATGTCTGGGGTTCGCAAGCCAGGTCTGCCTGGCCAGGCCTTTGGAAATAGGAAGTGTTTAAATAAAACACTTAAACGTTTAAAACGCCGTTTAAAATACCCCCCGTGACCACGACTGCTGCAAAGCATCCGAAACGTCGGGCTGATGTTAAAAATAATTTTCAAATAAGTTTAACTATGTATATATATATCGCGTTTTAAACCGTTAAAGTGTTTTATTTAAATGTGTACTACTCGCGTAAACTATGGACAGTATTTAAAAGGAAGTGTCTTTACCCTCGTGGCGATAAACTTTGGGTGTTAGTGACTCGTGTCCACCATCAGAATATTAATGGATTGAGTACACTTCTAAGTGAATGTTTAACCTGAATTTTATCCGAATTGCCGTATACGATCAAATTCGGTTAAATTATTATTGAGCCGAATCTTGCGCCATCCTTATGCATAACTAATATTGACCAAGTTTTAAGTCACACATAGGTTGCCCTTTGAATTGTGACCTTAGAGGTCGTAACTCTTTTGATTAACATTTTGTTATGTTTGCTTGTACCGAAGTCACAAATGTTATTTTTTCTGACAGTCCCAATTTCAATAAGGGTGAAAGACGGCAAATCCTTTTTATTTTGTCATTAAAGACATATTTAAATAAAAAATATTAACTGTATTAAACTCGTAAAATTTGTTAAAGTTATTTACAAACTACTTTTACTAAGACCCGACGCTTTGGTCGCCTTTCAGCAACAGTGGTCAAAGGAAAGCTCTCCGTATTTATCGCGTTTTAAACCGTTAAAGTGTTATTTAAATTTGTACTACTCGCGTAAACTACAAGCTTTAATTAAAGACAGTGAAATCCTGTAAAACGATTGTTTAATATGTAGACCTACATATGCTTAATTTGTAAACCGATTGTTCTTTAGATATTGAATCTATAATTTCGACTTTTAGTTAGCTTATAAGTTACCTGCTTGCGATCTAAACGGCTAAACATATAATTCTCTTTCCAGAACTATGCAGCATCGACACCTCCAAAGCCGACATCAGCTCCACCTCATACAACACTTCAGCGATCAGTTCGAGCAGCTGGGCCCTCGAGGGTCATACCTAGGTTCTACTTCCCCAAAGGGCGGCCGCCGCCCGCCCATCAACAAGACCACGCGCTACATAAAGTACAATCCGCCTTCGCTACATTTCCAAATAGTCAGGTAAATTTAAAACGTGTTATATTAAATTCGGCTGTTTATTAGAATGTGTCTCTTTTCCTTAAAACGGCTTAACCGATTTTGATAATACTTAGTTGCTGTGATTATCTTGATTGTAATAAGGTGAGAATACGACGATTCTATTCTCTTTTGGTCTTGTCTATTCTTATGGGATTCGTGAGTGTTTTGTATCTTATAAAAAATGGCGACTTCCTCAAAAAAGCATATAAAACCGCTTTTTATTTTCTTATGCATTACAGATGCTAAATATCTTTTGTAATATTTGTATTATATTTTTACAACAGGTAACATTGACTGTAGCTTCGCGAGCAGCACACATTTAAATAAAACACATGAACGGTTTAAAACGCGAAATATATTAGTTAAACTTGTTTACGTTTACTCCCCAAGGCCACGACTGCTACAAAGCATCCGACGTGGGGCTTAGTTAAAACAATTTGTAAATAAGTTTTAATAATATATTTCGCGTTTAAAGCCGTTAAAGTGTGTTATTTAAGCTTTACAGATGACATTAAATTTTTAAATTATCCGTGTAGAAGCAGTACTGACTAGTTGAAGTCAGTCTTTGCAGCTAGATTGAATTTTAAATATTGAGCATGCAACCGCGACCGCGTTTTACGAGCGTTTACAATTTAAAAAGGTCATATGTGCTACTCTTAGCTGGCTAGAATTCATTATAACAAAACAGCTGACAATATAAAAGAAAACAGAAATAAAGGTTAAACGGAGCCGTGGTCACTGGTAGCCTGCTGGTGGAAAGCATCCGAAAAGTCGGGACGTTAAAAATGATTTTCGAATAATTAAACACTTCAACGGTTTAAAACGCGCTATATATTAGTTAAACTTATTTGAAAATTATTTTTAACTTCGCCGCGATGTGGTCACGGGGAGACTCAAGTATATATCGCGTTTTAAACCGTTAAAGTGTTTTATTTAAATGTGTACTAGTTGCGTACACTACAGACAGTATTTAAGTAGAAAAAGATTTTACTAATTATGTTCGGGACCCTAAAACCATACTTGCACCAACAATATAAGAACTGTTCAGTGAAACGGACACAGAAATGTGCTCGCCCCATGCCCCGCGACGGGGCAACGGGTTTTACACCCTTACCTCATATGCTATCTAACGAAGAAACTTCTCCAATTATATCAAATATTGATCAACTCAAACTGCTGCATTGCGATCGCAAAGCGCTCGTTTAGATTTGACTATTGCTGCATTCGAGTTTCGTACAAATCCCAGTGAAATGGACACAGATATGTGTCTGCTATATTTCACTACAAGTGATGAAATCATAGCTTAGGTTTACAATTATTAAAAGTCACTGTCAATGGATCTCACCGCGATATATTTTTTTTTTCTGATAGAAGACAGTCAAGCAAGGGGTCCACTCGATGGGAAATGACCAGCCCCCAGCCGTATAACATCTACACAAAATGCGATGTCGACTTATTTCGGCTTCGGATATTCGGAAATCCACAGACCGACACCGAAACGATTAAACTTCAAGGCTTTTTCATCTGTGGACGTTGGTTCTTGACCAAATTGTTTCTACCACTCATTTAGTATCCAGATTTCCAGACGAAGTCCAACATATTTCGGAAAAATTAAAAATTTGAAACAACAAATATAGACAGTAGAATAGTTACTTTATGTGAGTGTGTAAAATTCCGTTTCCCCCTCGCGGGGCATGGGCCGAACACATTTCTGTGTCCGTCCACTGATCCGTTCTTTAACAGGCAAGCAGTTGATCGGACTTCTGTGCCCCATTTTTTGTTTTTGGGCATCCAAATTTGTTTGTCGAAAGTTAAAATTAAAACATAGACATATAATATGGTCGTTTTTTAGATCATTTAAAGAAGAATCCTATTGTCATATAAATTCTATGTTGTCCTTGTTCTCTCACAAAGTTAAATAATTTTCTCCGTCTAGTTCTATTAGTCTCGTCTCTCTCTTTGTTCTATATTATAAATAATTTCTTCCTCGATAAATGCTCTATCCAACACAAAAATATTTTTTCAATTCGAACCAGTAGTTCCTGAGATTAGCGCGTTCAAACAAACAAACTCCTCAGCTTCATATATTAGTCTAGAATAAACACCAACCAAACAAGACAGTCATACCAATAAATAATATGTATAGATAATGGAGTAAGAGTATTCAATACACTTTACCAATTGCATTTAGGCAATACCAAATAAGATTTTACCAACATTGTAATTTGCTGGAGTTTCGCCAAGATTCAAGAGAGGCCTCGTTTGGACCTATCAGTATTGAAAAATATCTCTATTTGATCTAATTCCACTATGTTTAACTAAATTTGCTGTTCAAACATTCCTATTGTTTAGGGGAACAACAATTCTATCAATAGATAAATGTCGCATGTAAATCAGTCAATATCATCGTATACTAGCTGTGTCAGCGACTTCGTCCGCGAAGAATAGTTATTTTGGGCGACCAAATTTGTTTTAGCATACTTCTTTATAAACTTAAGCTAGCACCCACGAGGTCGGTCGCAATCCGTCGTTCTTGCAAGTTAATCTTAAAAGATAGACATGTAACGTCGCGAATTTTTTTTAGATCACTCAATGAATTATTCTTTCATACATGTTTTACGCTTCGGAAACACACAAGGAAGAATAATTTTCCTACGTTTTTTTTCACATTTCCCGCCGTTTCTTCGCTCCTATTAGTCGCAGCGCGATGTTTTGTATCCTATTACAATTCTGAACAAAAATTAGCATGTTAGTTCCTGTTCATGTTGTCTAAACAGAAAGAGTATACCAACACAAATTGCTAACTTCTTTTCTTTTATTGCGCTAATGAAGAGACTTAAATAGCGTCTCTGATGCATGTTTTAAATACTTCAACTCCACTCAACTTAAAATAACTGAAAATAGTATAATACTAAAGGAACATGAAGATCTAGATACAAAGCTGTCAGCGAAGGATACAATTAAAAATGTGTGTGGGAATGGTTCTTTTTCTAATTCAAAGATATTTGCAATATTTGTATATTATGATTTATTAGATTTTTGTGAATCACCAAACTTCGACAGGAATGCATATTTAATAGGTTTATATAAAACGCTTTGAGGGTTTAAAACGCGATATATATTAGTTAGACTTATTTGAATTTTAATTTAACTCAGCCTCTGGATACTGGCCTTGGATGCTTTAAAGCAGCCGTGGTCATGAGGGTTGAAACGTCGGGTTGTGGTTAAATTAAATTGAGAATAAACTAACTAATATATTTCTAGATTTTTACATAAGATTCTAAACGGTCGTTAAGGCGTTAGAAGGACGGTACTCTAAAAAAAGAGACGTAAGGCAAAATATTTTTTTATAATATTTTAAGATATCTTAAGATGTATAAAACTTTGTCTACTTGTTTGCAAATAATTTAAAGCAACAGCAGATATAAAGGTGCAATAAGTACTAAAACCGGATTAAATTTCTGCTTCAATTGTAACCATATCTACGCGGGTCCGATGTCTACACCATTGTTTGATTATTAATAAAAGTACGTATTCATAAGAAAGTTAGTTTAAATTTATTGGAGACATTTGTCTTCTCACGCCATCCATCTTGGCGCAATTCTCACGACATTTTTGAAAAGGTCTTAAGCAATGAAAACACTGGAATTTCGCGTTTTTGAAGCTACAATTTTATTATTTTGAATTTTATTGAAACGACACCCTTGTTTATTACAAATGTTGTAATCCTAATGTATAAATGCAAAAACAGGGAACTTAATTAGATACTAGCTGTGCTTGCGACTTCGTCTATCGCTGCCTGGTGTTTTATAGCCTTATGCCTTCCTCGATAAATGGGCTAACCAAAAAAAAAAAAAATAGAACCAGTAGTTCCTGAGATTAGCGCGTTCAAACAAACAAACTCTTCCGCTTTATAATATAAGTATTTAAATCCTTATATCCTAAGCCAAAAAGGGATTTTAATTAGTTAACTCATACATTCCACTATTCATCATATGAATGAATATGTAGAGTAAAATATTCAGACGAGTAGAACAATTCTTGGCACTAAGCTATTCTGATATTTGAATCGTTTCAAATGTTAACTTTACGGCCACAAATAAAATCTTCTTAATAATACATTTTGGCAACAGTGTAGCACATATTCAATTTTAAGAAAATAATTATTTATAAACGGCCATGATCTGTTTCATTTTATAGATTTGTATTCACAGACAATTAATTGTTATAAAATTGTCTATGGTCTACTTTCCACACTAGGGCAAGTAATCGAAAAGTAGTAGGGAAAGGGGATTTAAAAGCATTATACCACAGGTAAATAATAACCTATATACAATAAACCCATAAACAATATTTATTTTTAATTTAGTTTTATATAGTTCCGACTACATATAAGTCGGTTACTTGCGATGGTACATGCTACATACAATTCCTATTGAATTATATGTTATTGTAATATTAGAGTGACCTTTTTAGGTCGAGAAGCGAAAAAATATTTCATTCGGGCAGAGCACAGAAGGTTGATCCGTGAAACGGATACAGATATGTGTTTGACCCATGCCTTGCAGAGGCATTTTACTTTCACAAAATATGGAATAGATTGAAAATCAATCAGCTAAGTCTCACTAGAACTTTCATAGGAATGCTTGAAAGCTTTTACCGCAAGACTTCCGGAAGTATTGATTTTAATAGAATTTTGCCTTTACTGAAATTAATAGCGTAAATGCATTTTAACAGGATATATTAGTGTGATTCGAGATGAAAATAGACTTGAAGAGATCGTTTCATTGCGGACTGGCTGTTATGTAAAAAAAGTAATAAATTATTTGAAAAAAAAAAACACAAGAATATACGGTAGACATAGCGTGTTGAATGAAAAAAAAGTCGAATATTTTGTGCATTATTTAAAATACGTTACAGGAATCCAATCCATCCAATCGTAGCAAAACAGCGAGGCCGGTTCGAACCCCAGTCATTTTTTCATTTTAAAAAAGATTTTCAAATTATACTAATTTATAGCATCTAAAAATACTAATATTTCAATAGTGGTTTAGTATTTTTTCTTAACCCCATTGTAACACATTAAATAAAATGCTTTTAACCGTTTAAAACTAACATATTTTCGATTGGAACCTTAAAATCTGTTTGCAAGTACTTACACTTTTATTTTATGAGCATATCTGTCGAAATCAACGAAAAGATGACTTGCTTATTTATATTCTCGACCTACTTTTCAGCTGAAACCACGCAGTAGTCAGAACAATGTATCATAAAACGGCGTGTTGCCTACTTTCCATCAAATTGCATAAGCCTATAATACGTTTGTTCCGAAAACGAGACAAAGAATTTTGGCGCATCTAGTTACAACAGATTTATTTCTAAATTACAGTCATTCGGACATTTTACTTATCCCATCGGTAGAGTTTGCTCAGCTTTTTTATAAATAAAAATATTATTCTGATTCTAATTTGTGCTGTTACATAACTTATTATCTCCTATCTTATCTAATGCATAAAATACGTTTTTATTTCTGCAGCCCAAGATAGGACAGCAGCACAAATGACAACAAGAAAAATATTACTGTATTTCTCAAAAACGGTATTGTGTAGGGTTTAAACAAAACCCAGTGAAACCTAGTCTTACAGTGAATTTGATTCAGAATAACCTATCGATAAAAGCCAGACACACACTGTCCATTTCTTCAACTGTCAACCATGGCTTAACCGAGAAATAATCCGCTATAAATAGGCTAGTCAAGTCGACGTGACCTACTTTGTGCAGGTCGATAACCTTCTAAAGGGGGCTCTGTTACGGGGTGAAGATTGGGCATAGACAATGTATGTGAAACAGAGTGGATTGGAAAACCGCGGACGTGATTCTCTGTGGTTCTATTATGTTGGATCGTTATTGTAAGCGCTCTCTTATGGTCTATGGCTGCTTTATTTTTAATGTTACTGGTTGGTTAATATTTCCCGCCAATTATTAATTATTAATGGCGAGAAAAGTTTATAAAAAAATTAGCGTGTCTAAAACCTTTTTAGAATCTGAAACAAACATCATTATCTCTTTATCTGACGAAACACTTATTGTCACTTATACTTAAAACAGTCTTCCACCATTCTTGCTATAAATTGTCCTTTGGAAACGAAAAAAAACTTATTCCTTAATCTCCGTAGCCTCTACGAGGTACGCACCAAATTATGTGTTCGTTGTATTAAGCAAAAGATTTTTTTATGTAATGATAATCGATATGATTATATTTAAACTTATCCTCCAAATAAATCTAAAGGTGTGTCGTTCTTAGATAGCTTCTAAATTCGCCGCTAGAGGCGCCCGAATAATATTTTCTTCGCCAATACTGTTTCTCTGTTTGCTAGCCTACCTTTTTGATATACAGTTAATCGATTTGCATATAGTCGTACTGAACGTTATTTACGCTTCGTCAACGACATGTGTCTACGCGCTCTATATTCATAATGACGGAAGTCGAACGACCACCCACGGGACTTGACCACTGCTTAATCACCAACAATACTAGGTACGCGAATCTAAGCCTTACTCAGAAGGATCAAAAGCGTTTATCGTGTGGTAGCTTTAATTAGATTTGTCCTGTATCCGTGACGTAGCGGTGCAGTGCCCATACGAATAACGATACAAACAGCATTTAAATTAGATTAACAGGTCTGTGAAAAGTAGGTTTTGATAGATAATAATGATATTAAATAATTCTTTTTAGCGTTCAAGATAGTATAGGTAAAATTATAAAAAAATGTCAGTTTTGACAATTGACATTATTCAATCGTTAATAAAAATTAACTTGGATGATAATAATGGCAAAGGATTCTTATTGTTTCATTAAATATATTATGACCCACTGATAATACTACTGGTGAGTGCATATAAAGCATCTGTCAGAAGTCTGTGACACCGATTTCTTCAATTTAAAAATTATTTCTTGTTGCAGGTTCCTCGAGAGAGTTTCAAGCACATAGTCAAAGCGTGCGAGTGTCCTCTATACTGGAAGATGCCTCTGTTCCTAGCCACACAACAAAATCTTCACGCTGCAGTCGACGGACACAAATTCATTGATTTCTGGAGAGAGTAAGTATATCCATATCGTATACTTAATATTAACGTAGGTCGCTGCAAGTGTATTAAATCGGACCCTAAAATAAACAAAATAAATTAAAAACCGATGTTAGTTTGAAAATATCTTACGGCATACAGCATACACAGCGTTGTAATGTTAAGGTTGAAATTACGTAACACGAGAGCTGCATGTATCAATAGGTTTAACAAATCCTACGATTTCGTGTAGGATTTCTAGGTTACATAATGCCATCATGTGCAAAATATTAAAGTTCTAATGATAAAGGAAAATAAATTAAATTTTACTTTCCATTTGTAGGCATGAGGTAACACACTTTTGTGTCTGTTTAACTGGTAGGTTATATTTTCAGTTGATCAACTGAATGTGTTATCGGAATTACTTATGGTCTGCTAGGGATTCGAACCGAGGATTATCGCGTTTAACATAATCACTGCGTCACGTTTAATCATTGATATAAATACGCGACGTTTGTGTGTATAAAATGTTGCCCGAATTAAATTAAAGTCTTTTTTTTACATTGTAACATTTCCATTTAAAAAGAACTGCTAAACTAACGACCTTAGTTGAAAGTTGCGCAATGTAATCAGCTGAAAGCCTTTTAAGAAAGTAGGCTTTATATTCTATGTTTTATCGTCTTTACATAGAGAGATATAAGCGTTCTCCCGATGAATTACTTCGCTAGAATTGCGACTCTTTCAGTATTGTTATTGGTAGTTTCAGTGCGTATTATTAATACAAATAACAATATAACATTTTCGTATCTGGTCAATGTTTAGTATCCCTTCGTTCATGAGTCCGACTCGCACTTAGCCAAATTGGAAGAATCAAGCTATTCCATATTAATTGAAGAATAAGTACAAAAATAGATATAGAAGCATTCGTTTCGTGTGAAACGTTTGTGGCTCTAGTTGACATAAACTCGCTTATTGCTTTCACTCATCTTCGCCGCAAATGGATCGTAAAGACGTGCGATCGAATCTTCTAGAAAACATAAATAAACAACCACTTAGGTAACGCGACGTACTCGTTTGTACGTCTGACCGCCAACCGTTTCCATATTAAATGAATTCGAAACGTCGGGCCATGGTTAAAATATTTTTTTCATAGGTTTTATATATATCGCCTTTTAAAGCGTTAAAGTGTTTTTTATGTGTACTGCTCGCGTAAGAGTAATTGGTCTGCGCGAGATGAGAACAATTGGAGAGAACATTAAGTCTTGGAGGAGGCCTTTGCCGATCGGCACACGGATCTAGGCTTATTATAAAAATAGAATAGATTGTAGACTAGAAACTATTTTTTTAAGTATAAGTAAGTAACTGTTAAAATTAATTCTGTTGGAAATAATGTTGTCCTTTAAACGTTTAACATAAGTTTTGCGATAGATTCCAATTTCAAACAACACTTTCATAGTTCGAGGCAGAGGTCACGAACATGTTTATATAATGTAGACCACTTAACTCATAAATGTGTCTGCCCCACGCCCCAAATGGTCTTGGTGGGACTTCAATACGGTAATATCAAAAGCTTTTATTTATTTATTTTTATCACTAACTAGCTGTATCAGCGACGTCGTCCGCGTAGATTAGTTATTTTGGGCATCAGATTCGTTTTTGCAAACCCCTTCTTTATAAACTGTTACCCAAGACGTCGGTAGCGTCCCTTCTCGTCGTTCTTGCAAGTTAATCATAAAAGACAGACATATAGCGTCGCAGACATTTTTTTAATCGTTAAAAGAGAAATAATTCTCTTAAATTCGGAAAACCATAATGATGAATAATTTTCCAATTGTTTTCCACATTTCTCGCTGTATCTGCGCTTGTATAAGCCACAGTGTGATGTTTTATAGTCTTATATCAATATTCAATTCCTCGATAAGTGCTTTAACCAACATAAAATATTTAAATAAAACACTTTAACGGTTTAAAACGCGATATATATTAGTTAAACTGTCTGTTTCTTATTAAATAGTATTGGTACTTTATTGTGACAATCTCTTTTACAGAATGAGTATAACATGCCACGACCAAGCCTCTAGATTCGTGTACATTTTAACACGAGGCAAGAGCAACACCCTAGCACCAGAAGACTTCGTTCCATTAGTTCAAGATGTTGTAGACACGCACCCGGGTCTCTCGTTCTTGAAGGAGGCTACCGAGTTCCACTCTAGATACGTTCATACTGTAAGTACGAACTTAATGAAACGAAATAAGTTGTTTAAGTTTAAAGATATTTAAAGGTTCAGACACGTGAAAATAAATTAAATTAAATGTGTTCTCGATTATATATTTGTAATATAGGATGTGGATAATAAATATAGAGTCGTGGGTACGATCCCCACTTAATCGAACATTTTTCTAATAAATTTGGATCCGCAACATGTTGGATATCGTTTGAAGAAACTGGATTTTGGGTTGGGTGGTTTCCTTTATTCATGGATGGTCAAACATCGTTTTTTTATCTGTGGACGGTACTTCATGAGCCAAAAGATGAAAAAGCCGTAACACGTAATCACGTTTTGTTTTTTGTCTATAGATTTCCGAATATCCAAAAGCAACAATTAGGTCGAAGGCGAATCGTTTTGAGATCACTATGCGCGTTGGTTCAAGCCCCGCCTGTGTTATTGAGTTTCAACGTAAAATAACATTATTTTACATTACATATTGCATTATACTTCTAATAAATTGCGATTAGATTTTTAATATTGTTACAAATTGAACTTATCCATTTTTAACGATTTAAAACGTGAAATATATTAGTTTACTTCTTAAAATTTATTTAAACTACTAACGTAAATAATATATTTCGAGTTCAAAGTGTTTATTTTTAATATAGTCGCGTGATAAGACAATATTTCTACTAAGTTAAGCAAAATGTTTCTTATAGTTTTTCCGGCGAAAACAATATAATTTCATTGTATGGAGCATCCTATTATGTTTTATAACAATGTGTTAGTTGTCTCACCTCATATCTTCGTACACATACATTGTTATTTGTCTACGACGGAGCCTTCTTTAAAAGATTCTTAACACGACAAAATATTGTGCTAGACTCTCTCCACAACTTGTTCCATTCAACACTGTTATAACACAATACTTATTAGATTACAGAATGTAAAATAAAATCAAGTAAAATTACGTTTACCCCTATGTGGGGTATGGGGCGAACATAGACTCTTGGTTACTTTGATAAAAGTTACTTATAGGCAAAAAACTTCAGGGCAGACGTCGGTCAAAAGTCAAAGTCAAAAATGATTTATTCTATGTACACTTATGAACGTCACAAAATCAAAGATTGTACGAATGTACCCTGCATTAACTAATTTTTTCCGTGCTTTAAACCTAAGACCTTAACGCAATGCTACGCAGCACGCTTAACTATTGAGCTATGTTGTGTTCAGGTTTGGCGGGCTACATATAATATGCAAGCAATAAAAAGGAAACAACTACACCCGTATACACAATTGCAGTATTTCTTTGTCCCAACGCTGGGCATCCAATGCGTTGTGCGGTTGAACCCGGGGCCTCGTGAATATGCTATTTTTTATAATCATACATAATAATTACGTTACAGGTGATTGCTAGAATATTCTACTGCGTGAACCGGTCGTGGTCCGGGCGGATATCGATCCCGGAACTGCGAAGATCCAACTTCCTCCACGTGATCCAACTTTTGGAAGACGAGGAGGATATCAATCAAATCACTCAGTATTTTAGGTGAGTTTAACTTGTATACTTTGGATTATTTAACCAGGATGTTTGACGGATAAGGTTCCAGGCTCAAATCCTAGAAAATAACGTTAGTAATTACATCAGTTGTGTTTATACTACTTTTTGTGCTTCTTAAAATTTGCATTATTTCCAAGTATTTAAAGATCATCTTGTTAAATAGCTAGGGTACTTCTAGGGTAGGTAGGGTAGGGTACTTCCTTCCATCAAATGAATCTCATGCTTCTCTGTCCTCTTCTGTCACAAAATAACATTGTTTAGACATATAGTTAAAGTTAAAAAATTGACGGTCCCGTTTTCCCACTGCGCCAAGTAGGCACTAGAACCCAGGTATCTCGTGCTGATCCTAGGGCAACCCTTTAACCCTTGAACTACTTATTCTCTCTCTCTTAATCGCATTCTTCATTAGAAGGTGCTTATCATGAAATGGTCTTGCCTTGTCCAGCAGCTTCCATGCTTTTCTTTTCTTCTAGCGGTCGGTACTGATGCCTGTCAACTTTGAACTATTGATTATTTGTATTGTCATCATCTCAATGATTTTCCGGCTGTCCGGCCGACGCACACAGAATTTTTCGAGCAATCGATGAGCTAACATCTGATGATGCCGTCTGCACGCGATAGCGAAACGTCGAGAACGTCTTCTCGCCCACGTCGGCCGAACAGCCCGAAAACAATGATATGCTGCCGATGGCCGTGAGAGCCTTATACAGTTTATTAAATCTATATCTTTATATTTCAGCTATGAGCACTTTTACGTCATCTATTGCAAGTTCTGGGAGTTGGACAAGGATCACGATCTCTTCATCGATAGACACGACCTCGCGAGGCACAACGATCACGGTAAGAACTTTACCATTGATGATTTTTCTCTATTAACCCAATATTAAAAAAACTTTTAACGGTTTAAAACGCGAATTGTATTAGTTATTTGCAATACTATAGCAGCCGTTACTCGCGTGTTAAGTGTTTTATTTAAATGTGTACTACTCGCGAAAACCCAACATTTCCAATTTGGGATTGTTCTAATAGTAACAATCTACTACTAGTTTCTAATTTTTTTAATCATGTTGGACTTCGTCTGGAAATTTGGATATAAAACATCTAAATTCCGTAATTGTCATGATCGACAATCCAAAATTTTAAAAGCGGTTTAAAACACGCTATGTATTAGTAAAACTTTTTTGGAAATTATTTTAACTACGGCCTGGAGGTTACGAGGATTTTGTCCTCTTTTGAGCAGCTGTGATGTCCTCATAACATATCGGGGTTTAAACCGTTGAAGTGTATTTAAATATGTACTACTCGCGTAAACTACAGACAATATAAGATTAAACGTCTTCTAATGTATGTTGTCTAACTTTCTAGCCCTCTCAAGCCGTATGATAGAGCGAGTGTTATCTGGATGCGTCACGCGCGGAAACCAGAACCGGCTGACACCCCACGGTGAACCCAGGATGTCGTACACCGAGTTTGTATGGTTCCTTCTCGCTGAAGAGGATAAGAGCCACCCCACGGCTATAGAATATTGGTTCAGGTATGTGCGCCTCATAACATAAATAATTCCTAAAATATTGGAAGACAAGCTTTACATACAAAATAATATCACGAGCAACTAGCTGACCTTAGTTAACCAAAAATTCTATTACCATCAAAACCGTTCTCGTGAGTTATTCTAGATTATTCAAAGAAGAATCATTATTTCATACATATTTTTCCGGTATTTTGAACCCTCAAAAAGGGAGTAATTTTCCCATTGTTTCCTCATTTCCCTCCGGTCTCTGTGCTCCTATTGGTCGCAGCGTGATGTGATATAAAGCTTTCTTCGGTAAATGGTCTAACTAACACAAAAATAATTTCAACTTTAACGCATACGGTTTAAGGTTCAATGTCTTATAATTTGCAGCTTAAGAAAATCATCGAAGGTGAAATTAAGAAAGTTAACGTTTGAAAACTTTAAGATTTCTTACATTGCACATGATGGCAGTATTAAATCATATATTTTTTTAAATTTATAATCCATTGAGTTACTCGCAAGTTTCCACTTAAATGCTCCTCTTATAAATTTGTTGAGAAACTAAAGTACATTGCATGTATGGAGGCACTTGAAAAGCTGATCAAATTTGGTCGCGTGAGGCACTGCCACAACCATTACTTTTGTTGGTGAAATGTTAATAACCAATGCCCCTTGGTGCCACCTTGAACTTTAGTGGAACTAATCAATTACTCAAGATTGTACCAAGGGTCACGGGTAGAAAGGGGCATTATTGTATATTTTTATTGATATGATTATGTCTCATAACTCAGGAATGGCATTTTTTTATTGATTGAAGTTTTTTTGTTCAAAGTTTCACTGAGTAAAGCTGCGCTTTTAAATGAAAAACTTTAACGGCTTAAAACGCGATATATTTTAGTTAACTTGTTTCGGATGCTTTGCAGCAGCCGTGGTCACGGGGAGGCTGACCCGGTGTAAAATATATCACTTTTAAATTCGTTAAAGCGTTTTCTTCAAATGTGTACTAGTCGCGTTAACTACAGACAGTCCTTAGAACCTACTTAATTTTATATCATGTATAGTAGTTTGAAGAGTTTGTTTGTTTGAACGCGCTATTCTCAGGAACTAGGGGTTCGAATTGAACAATTCTTTCTGTGTTGGTTAGATCATTCATCGATAAAAGGCTATAGGCTATAAACATTGTCCTGTGAATAATACAAGCGAAGATACAGCGGGAAATTGGGAAAATTCAAGTTCAAGGTACCCAAAAAATGTGTATGAAAGAATGATTCCTCTATATGATATATGATCTATGCGCGATGCTATATGTCTATCTTTTAAGATTAACTTGCGAGAACGACGGGAAGAGATGCGATTGATGTCGTGGTTAACATCTTAAGATGAAGATGAAGTCGCTGACACAGCTTGTTAGTATATAGGTTTTTCATCAATTAAGTTATATATTTCCAGGTGCATGGATTTAGATGGAGATGGCTACATATCTATGTACGAGCTGGAATATTTTTACGAGGAGCAAATGCAGAGGATGGAGGCAATCGGAATTGAAACTCTGCCATTCAACGACTGCTTATGTCAGGTAGATTTTCATTATCATTGTTTTACTTCATTATAAAACTATTTATCAAAACTTAAACTAAAAGTGAGCCAAGATAAACCAAATGGTCTGACAAATGGCTGCTCGAGGTACTAACACAAACTTATTTCAAACTAATAAATTGTGTAAGGCTTTTACGGCCATCGTTCAGCAAGACAATGATATGTTATTTAAATAAAACACTTTTACGGTTAAAAACGCGATATATTAGTTTAACTTATTTGAAAATGATTTTTAACTTCGGCCCGACGTTTAATACTATCGTTTAATACTAATATATCGCGTTTTAAACCGTTAAAGTGTTTTATTTAAATGTGTACTACTCGCGTAAACTATATAATATATTATAATGATGTAAACTATATAATAATGTATTTAAGATTTCATTTTCAAAGTCGATTTATAAACGTCAAGCTAATTTACAAAAGTGTTCTTTTTTTATAACAAAAAACCGCCTTGTTTTGTTTGTATTTTTATTATAATTATGTTTTACCTATGGAATACTTTTTTCAGATGTTAGACATGGTACACCCGGCTGAGAAAGGCAAGATTACGCTCACCGACCTAAAGAAATGCAAACTAACACCCATATTCTTCGACACATTCTTTAACTTAGAGAAATATCTGGACCACGAACAACGGGATCCATTCGCCACCCAAAGAGATTCAGATTCAGAGGTAATCTTGTCTAATATATTTAGAAGTGACTCAACTTTTTACTGTTGTCCTTTGTGTTATGTTAAAAATATCCACGTGCAATTTCAACCGATTTTTGTTCTACTGTCTCCTTATAACAAACTAAATAGTCAAAGATACACACGAACGCACTCACACACAAGAACGCAGAAACGCCCACACATTAAACACACACACCCATGCACGCAAATACAAACTCATACGCACACACCACCCTGCTACTACACCACTAAGTTAGTGACAATCGTGACTAACGGCGTAACATGCTTTTCGTGACATGGAAGTGTTGACCTCCTGCCAAGACCTGGAATGTAAATCTTGTGCACTTTTACAAAGTTTTGCTTTCAAAACCCTTTTTACATATTTTTAAACTTCTTTGAGTGCTTACAACATAGTTTACAATGTGTAAAACACTGCAGAAGTTAGTAAAAGTCTTTATATTAATTTCTAGATGTCTGAATGGGATCGCTTCGCCGCTGAAGAATATGAACTGCTGGTAGCTGAAGAAGGGGGCAGTGATGCACAGGATCAAATGTAAGATATTTATTTTATTCTCCCCTTTAAGTTGTAGTTTGTTATATTTGGATTGTCACAATCCAAATCCGATCAGGGTATTATTTCATAAAAAATAATTGCCATATATTACTACTGTTACCGTTAAATCAACACTACAATCAAATAATTATCTTATATTTATTTTTTAATATTCAACTTTAAGTATTTAACTACGTTTACATTGTTAATTATTTCATTACAATTAATAGAGATCTACCGGCTATTAATAAACGAATCGGCTACTTTTGAACTAGTCAAACGCCTTATATAATATATTTCACGTTTTAAACCGTAAAATATCAATAATGAAAATTCGAATAAATTCTTATTAAATATATATTTAAAATTTATATGTAGAAATATAAAATACTGTCTATAGTTTACGCGAGTAGTACACATTTAAATAAAACTCTTTAACGGTTTAAAACGCGATATATCAGTAACTAATATATCGCGTTTTAAACCGTTAGTGTTTTATTTAAATATGTATAAATATTTCAAAAAGGTGACGATTGTGTTATTTATTGGTTGTTATCTATCCATGTATCATAACATAATGTTGTAGCTACAGATCCGACACGATTTCTTAAACATTTTACCCATTTAAATAAAACACTAACGGTTTAGAACGCGAAATATATTAGTAAACTTATTTACAATTTATTTATTCCCACAAGCAAGAGAGGACATTTTTTTATGAACTAGTCAGTTAACAATTAAACTTTGTTGATTGTAGACGGCTGGGTCGATTAGTCGGCCGACTGATCGACTTGGTGGCGGCCGTCTGATTCGCTTAAGTTATAGTCGATACATACATTAGCTCTTATCTTCTTATTAATAAAATTGTTGTGAAGGAAATGGGTTTTCTATATTTGATATTAATGTATTTATAATCTATGGATATGTAGTACGTGTATGTATTATTTGGTCATCCCTTGGACTTTATCTATTTCATATTCTTTCATCAGGGAGGGAGACAGAACTGGCTATGATAGGGTAAGGTTGTGTTCATGAAGTGCAGTGTATTGCGCCATTTCGCATAAATCAAATACTCAAAAACGTCATCCATATAGGAATGTCGCGTTTTTGGCAAGCCTAAACCCGTTTTTGTAAACCGCGAGGACATTTGCATTGCTAAATTGTAAAATACTAACCTTCATTTGTTTTGAGCGTATCTCATTATTGTATTTTTTGCTTCTATTCAATTCTATATAACAGTTTTATTTAATAAACAAATTGTATAATAAAACTCGGCAATAGGAGTAGCGGCGAGTTTCTTGCCAGTTCTTCTTCGAGAACTGACAAGTCTATTTACTTACCGTTTGTATAATGATATATCCAAAATACAAGAATAAGTACAGATACATATACAGAATATGTACCTACCTATAAGATTACGTATGTCTGTTTAAAAAGGCAGGCTTCCTATATTGGTGATAAGTACATGTAAAATCAAACTATATGTTTGCTATGTCTTCCTATGAATGAGAATAATAATCGCACTGCAATTATAACAACACGACGACATGGAATTTTGTACAGTTTCACAATCGAGTTGGCTTGAAACATTGTCTGCCTTACTGATGAAAACATAATCCTTTACTCTTTATAAAATATCGTGTGCGTACCCAGAGGGGGGGGCAGGGGAGGCCAGATGCACACCTGGAAATTTCTTAGTATGAACTACTTTAATGACTAATTATAGTGTAAACAGGGCGTTATGTGCTAACTTTTACACACAATACACTTCACGTACCTAATTTTTTATGTAGTGTGTGTGTGAAAAACAGCCACGCACTTGACTCCTAGGCTGGATCTGGGTACGCCACTATAAAAATATGCTTCCATTCTGTAAATAAACTCATTTATACGTAGCATGAATTTACTAACCAACACCGGCACTGTTGCATCGCTACTATCACGACACGAGCATGCATAAATATGATGTTTGACAGCAATTTCTTTGATTTTCAGCTCATACGATGAAACAGACGACGACTGTTTATCACCGAACGTTGAGGATGCAAACACAGAGGTGGTAGAAGATTCCAGTGTCGAAGAATCTACTCTCAGCGACAGCATTTCAAACGCCCGAAAGGAGACACCACTACTGCGCCAAGCACCAAACCCAACCGGCTACGTCAACCTTAGCTCCATATACGCCCTCGGCAGCACAGACCGATGGGCGAACAAAACGAACGTCCAAGAACGGAAAATGGAGAAACCGATCCCACCAGAGAAACCAGTCAGCCTCATGATGATGAACGGAAAGATGGAGAACAGGTCCAACTTTGGCAACAACAGTTTCCTTTACTCGCAACTGCTGAACCCTGGGGCGAGGAAAGACCCACCATCGTACACTGCAGCCACTAGCGGTATGGACAAGAGCGAAGTGAAGAAAGTATCCCCAAGTCGAACTAAATCCCCCACGAGCCCCTTGAACGGGGTCAGCAAGATCTCCGACAACTACGAACGAGCCGTCGCTGAAAGACTGAGTCCCCAACGAGATATCTCTAGACTGAACCGCAGCAGTGTCTTCAGTAAGGTCAACACTGGTATAGTCTCTGGTAAGGTTAAGAAGACCAGAACCGCGGATGAAGAGGACGAGGACTACGCGCGCGACAGTGACGAATGTTCCATATAGACCGTGGTCTCCAAGTGTGTGATACAATGACAATTGTGTAAGTGAACCAAAGACTTTGTAGGTAATTGTAAAATACCATAAACAAATAAATATTTTTTCAGCGTATCTAGAGCATGGTACGTGCCTTGTTTAGAAATAGATTTGGAGTTTTAGTAGTAAAAGTAGAGTAGTGTTCGACTTAGTAACGGTGTGTTTTAACATCGCATAAATATAGATTCAAGCGTTTCAAAGCGATTTGAAAATTCGTAATACGTGTGAAAGTATTTTGCAAGAAATAGGATATATGAATGGTTTTGGTTTTATTAAATAGTTTGAAAGCTTGACTTGGCCCATATATAATGAATTATGAGAACATTCTGGTATTATAAGCAACTAATCGTTGAGAAGGATAAACAAGTGACAAAGTGTTCAGGCCCAATTTCACTGAGAGATAATTACGTCATCGTCAAAAAATCTCCAATTTAACAATCGGTTAACTACAATCTAATGTCGTCTTTGGTTTTAGCCGTCTAAAGCCTGAAGCACTTTAACGGTTTAAAACGCGATATATATTAGTTAAACTAAACTTGAAAACCACGGCTGCTGCAAAGCAAAAGTGTATTATTGAATATTTCTCAGCGAAATTGCGTATCAGGCTTGCAAAGTTCCGCTTTAAAATTAACGTTGGCCTCCATATTCCGTCTCGACACCATTCATATCACTGCTCCATCCAACGCGAAAATGTATTTTGGATATTATTAGCGATATAGCATTTATTTCTCATCTAACGCTTTAAGCATTAACTGTAAAAGAAGCTAAACATAAACACGCACAGTTAGAATAGATAATAGACAAATATTTTTATATCAAACTCTGGGGTCTAAGACAAGTTAACAATTGTAAAATTGTCCCTGGGTGTATGGGGTCAGGTTATTTTAACAGTGGACTGACAAGTCCCATCTTTAGTGTATTTTTTCTTACTTGGCATTATTGTTAAACAAACACAAAATTTACATGAAATCGTTATTTTCTCACCAAGTACATTGATATACACTAAAGACACTTTGAGATACTTTGAGAGATATATATATATATATATATTGGATTATATATTAAACCAATGAACTACCTTAATTAACTTAGTTGAAACCTCTCGGAATTTCATGCTAAAATTAATAAAAATCTAAAAAATTAAGTTACGTTTACACAATTGAAATTAACAAAAAATGTTGACATTCGCATTAGTCAACGACACTAGAAGGTAAAACACCCACTTATGAACGATCGCTGAAAAGCATTGTAACGCTTGACGAGTTAAATAATGACATTAAAAATTTCACAAATAGGTCATTAAAGTGTTTTTGAATATTGAGGTCGTTTGGACCATATGTAATGGATATTTTTTTAACCCTATGTCATCTGTGGCAATGGCTACACTCTATAAAGGGCACTAAATCGTCATGGTATGAAATGGGTCTTATTTATTGTGGTCATTTGTCAACTTCGAAAGAATACACTGTATGTGCCTAGATTTTGTCTTTGGCATTGTTAACTTGTCTACAGCCCAAGATTTTCGCTCTTCAAAACTTTAACTATCGAAGTCAATGATACCAAACAACAGATGACCTGTGCATATTTTTCCATTACTTTTCAAACTATGTAGAAGGTAAATTACATTAAAAAAATGTCTTTCCATTTCGTTAGTGCCCCAGAAATAAAATGTACAGTTGTACTGTTTGATAAATTTGTTTCGTAACTAGACAATTATATAAGAAAATATATTCCTTTAAATTAATTAGAGTGTGAATTTACAACTTCTCAAATTGAAGTAGAGAATTAAATCAATTCACAAGTTTCAAAATTCAAATTGGTTGGTGGATGTTAGACATCTTTTCAATTGAAGCCTTATTATGCCATATTGTGGGTTTATTGTTTACTAAAAATCTAGCTGTAAAATATCACGTTTCGTCTGTCACTACAAATTATGAACTATTATACTATTAATTAAGTGTACCGATTGTCTAGTTGTTCGTATGTAGGACTAATCCTTACTGTGACGCCGTTCAAGTGTCACGTAAGAAATTATATGATTGTTGATCCCCCCTGTTCCCCTTGTCAGAACTCTCCCCCCTTATTACTTTAGTCTAATACTTCTCACGTATTTAATCTGTGAAAGATGTGGGTTAGTTCAACAAATTCTAAAAATAATAAAATAGTTCCTAAATAAAGGTTACTAATGAATTCCGCTGGGGTTACCATGTATACCAATCATCAAATAAGCAAACCCACCAATCCCCATAGTGCTTACGTCATACTTGAACGGCCTATGTTAATTAATACTAAGTAGGTAGATTTTACATTTATCTAGTCTACAGGGTGCTTTTCGGTTCGTTTCAAGGTCTTCTGCATTAACAACAATTCGGGTTCACAGTATTGCAAGTAATTTATTATTTTTAAGGCGGTTTTTATTGTCGACCTGCATATATTTGAGTATAAATAACACTTTGTCGAACAATTACAAATAATCACTTCAACGCACTAAGCGCTAAGGGTTCAAATTTTATGGAAGGAGGAAAAATTTGGTCGGACAAGAGAAGTCTAACTATGTAATTACTAATTATTATTTGTCGGACTAATTTATCCCATGTGTAACATACCCCCTTTACAATTCATTTTTTTTTTGCTACAACCAAAGAATACAATATTTTTCACGTGTCAAATATTCATGGTGTTACCTACTTGAAAACCTCTGGTCGTTCATTAATTCAAACTTTGACATTCGTAATTGTTCGTTAAGAATTAACAAAAACAAAGACGCTTTATTTAAAATTGGAAGCCAGACACTGGCGCCGTATGGTGTTCAAATATGCTGTCTACCGACATAAAAGTTTGTGTGGGTATACAGTGAAAAAGAGAAATGAAAATATTTTTAAATATAAGTTGGGACAACTCGTTAATTTTAAATATCAGGATAACGGCAAAATAAAACACCTAGTGAAGCGTCTACAGAATTTGTTACTGTGTCGTTTATGAATTAACGACACACTTAATTGTTATGACCGGGATTATCCAATTGATATGTATAACTTACCAATTTCTTAACCAAAAAGTTTTTGTTCATAATTTAATGAATTTTATAAATGTGTTGTGTATTATAATAGGATTATATTAGATTCTACGATCGCATTACTTAACTACCCTCGGTTGATGTTATTTTTACATTTTATTCTTAAGGTTCATTGTAAATTATCCTTTTTATGTATTGTGCAAAATTAAACGCATTTATTGCAAAGTGAAGTAGGTGTGAGTGTGTGGTTTGTATGATTAATTACTTGTTTTTTAAAAGTGTTATTGAATATTGTTACTGAGTCTTTAATTGGTACGTACTAGAAATAAATGAAACTCTATCTTCCATCTGTAAACCCCAAAAATGTTTGAATAGTGCCATGATTTACTTTACATTTTTAAGATTACAGTTAGTCATTAATTGCAACTGAGATTATAAACTAATTTGTAATAATGCATGGTTGTAAGTCTGTTTTATATTACCTAGTTTGTTCTTACAGAGAGACAATGCAAGTTGGATTTCACTAATTAATTACTAATTACAAGATAAATTAATAGTGATTGATACACCATATGTCACTTACAGAATTTAAATCTCACTATATCGAAGGAACCTGTTTATTACCATTTTTTAATATTGTAAGTTATTGTGTATACCTTATATGCTTTTCAAAATATATCATGAACATTTTTGAACACAGCCGTAATAAAAACATGAAGGTGATTTATCTTTGAACTTACCAGCTTCCAAATATTTAGGAATCAAACATATTGAAATGAAATTAAGTTTAAAATGGAGCAGCAGTTTTCTTTAAAATTAAATTAAATCGAAGCTGATGTTACCAGCTGTTTTTATAATTTTGCGTTATTTTGAAATTATGTACTTATAATATAATATATCTCCGTAAATATTTTTTTTACTAAACGCTAGGAGTTATTAGTTTTGTATATGTTAACATTGATAAGTAAGTATTACGGAATGGAATCACAGAACTTATAATAGTAAGTCGACTAAATAAAATATCTTTAATCAATTATACGCTGTTTATTTATTTTTAAAAGGTAAGGATAATAGCCAAAAATACGTGTGTGTTTTGGGACACCCTATAGATAATAGATGTGATTAGTTGATGACTATCAAAGAATGCTAGATATAAGTGTTGTAAAACGAGCATGAACACAATAGATCGAGCTACTGTAGTCACTTCCCCCTTGTGGCATCATCGTATGAGAAATATACATAAAATTTTAAGTTAAATATTCAAAAATATATTTGAAATACAGACAAGGCCTTATATATATAATATACTAGCTGTGCCCGCGACTTCGTCCGCGTGGAATAGTGACTTGAGGTAGAATTTTTAATTATTCAGGCTGTTTATTAATTTATGTAAGTTAGTTTACGGCAAATTTTTTTACACCTCCCGTTGCTTTTAATGGAACATTTTAAAGATTTTTATCGTAATCTAGTACTAAGTATAGTTTATTTTACGCAGTGTAAGTAATATAGCTTTCTAATGAAAAAATCATTATTAAAATCGGTGCAGTACTTTTTGAGTTTATCCGTTACATACAAAAATACAAATCTTTCTTCTTTATAATATCAGTGTAGATAGCTGTTGCCCACAATATACTAATCCCGTCGTTCGGGTCGTTCTTGCAAGTTAGTCTAAAAGATAGGCATATAGCGTCGCGGAATTTCTTTGAGATCATTTAAAGATGAATCATTCTTTCATACATAATTTTTAGGTATCTTCAACCGTCTTCGCAGCGTACGCATCTGAAACCTACAGAGATGAAAAATTTCACTGTATCATCGTTCCCATTAGTCACATCGCAATGTGTTACAGCCTATAAACCTTCCTCGATAGTCGCTCTAACCAGCACAAAAAGAATTTCAATTCGAACTCGTAGTTCCTGAGATTAGCGCGTTCAAACAAACAAATAAATTCATCAGCTTTATATATTAGTATAGATATAGATATAATAATGAGATTCAAAAAATCACAGACTCTCTTAACATTTGAAAGTATATGAAATAAAATACTTTATCTGTGGTTCAAATCAAGTCATATTATTATTACATTACATACTTCAAAACTTAAAACTTAGTTCCTATTTTAGAAAATTCATTGTCAAATTTTATCAGTGTTCCCTAAATTTGTGAATATTTATCGTGAGCGTCTCGTAAAAGATTTTATTTTTGTTGTTAATGCAATACTGCTCAACTATTAGTGAATGTTATGGAGGGTATTCAACATTCAACGGTCGATTCTGACAGGTAAAACTTATAAAAACTTCTATTTTCTTTATTTCACGAAGATGCCTTTCTACGCTGTAGCGAAAGGTAGAACGTCGGGGATTTTTATGAACTGGGGTGACTGTGAAGCACAAGTGAAAGGTTTCTCTGGAGCTAAGTACAAAAAATTCAATACAGTTGTTGAAGCTCAAGACTATATTGCTGCTGGTGGAATTACAAAGAAAATTCCATCACAGAAGGATCAATCTTCAAATAACGAATTTGCCTTAGCAAACAACACAGGTAACAATAACCTCAAAAGGACTTATTCAAGTTCAGCCAAAAGTAAAAACAACCAACCACCTGTACCAGCTAAGAAATCTAAGGAAAAACGTAGAAAAGATAGCAGTGATAGTATTGATGACGATCTGGGCTTAAGCAGCATAGTGGTAAAACAATTAGATGACATTGAAGCTAGATTAAAGGGAGTAACAAAAAACGTTGACAACATAGTTAAAAAAAATACCAAAGTTGTAGGCAGAAAGACCCAATTAATCGATCAACAAGACATACCACAAGGTTTTCAAACAGACCATGAAGGGTACGTTCAAGTTTACACAGATGGTGCCTGTTCTGCAAATGGCCGGTCCGGGGCACGTGCTGGTCTCGGTGTCTATTGGGGAGAAGGTTCCAGCTTGAATATCAGTGAGCCCGTCTCGGGGCGTGCTACTAACAATTGTGGTGAAATACAAGCAGCATCTAAAGCTATACAGCAAGCTATTGATAATGGAATAAATAGGCTTGCTATTAATACTGATTCTAAGTTTCTCATCAATTCTGCTACCAAGTGGATGTCAGGTATAATATACACGATATTTGTTGTCTGTTTTTTATAAATATATCGAACACATTCTGTATATTCAACTCTTCCTGAAGTTTATCAGTTCTTACAGTACTTGCTTCAGTACTTACTTACTTCAGTATCTTAGTTTAACATCTTAAAATGCGATTTATACTAGTTAAACATATTTGAAAATTATTTTAATTATGGCTCGACATACTCCTCTTCCTGTTACCGTGGCTGCTGCAAAGCATCCAAAACATTTGGCCATAATTAATATAATTATCAAATAAGTTACTAATATATATCACGTTTAAACCATTAAAGTGTTTTATTTAAACATCCTGTTTTTATATTTCAGGTTGGAAACGAAATGGATGGAAACTAAAGTCTGGAGAACCTGTTAAGAATGAAGTCGACTTCAAGCAATTAGATAGAGTTTTAAATAAGATTGATGTCAAATGGATATATGTGGAAGCTCATCGTGGAATCCATGGTAATGAGAGAGCTGACCAGTTAGCTAAAGCGGGGGCTTCGAAATATGGTTTTACATAATGTTCCTTGACATTTAAATAAGTTAAGTAATGTAGGTGTTAATGTTTTCGTTGACTAATGTGATTGAAATTGTAGTTATGTATTAAGGCCGGCTCTTAAGCTTAGAAAGCAATTTTCAAATGTGTTATAGTCTATTTATTGAGAACTTTTCAGTTAACACTGTTGCGGTAATCGTTTCCTTTCATTACTTCAGCGCTGATTTTTTATTTTGAATATTCCCTTTTCTATTATGATTCTCAGTTACTTCTATTATACTATATATTTTCTTGTAGGCATAGTAATATTACCTACGAAATTACCTCGTCCACCTAATTTTATAAGAAATAAAAATGTGATTACTTTGTGATTTTTTTTGTCTGTTAAATTGATTCCTTTGAGGCTCCCTGGGCTCAATAATTGTTTTAAGTCAAGTACATGGATTCGAATTACAGAAAAACGATAAATTCTTTTGGTTGGGTAGGGCATGATGTCTGACCAATATAATATGTATAATAACTATACACTGAATACCGTCTGTAGTCTATATTTAAATAAAATACTTTACCGGTATAAAACGCAATATATATTATTTAACTACGGCCCGACGTTTCGAATACTTTGCAATCATTTTCACATAAGTTTACCCAATATATATCGCGTTTTAAACTGTTAGTGTTTTATTTACCTGTTAAGGTAGGAATTTTTGTAAATAAATAATAAATAAATAAATAAATTTAAATAACTAACACGTTTCGGATCCTTCGACGTCAGAGACATCCTCCATCTTTAGTATCCCGTCCGCAACGTCGGACCGTAGATAAAAATATTTTTTAAATAAGTTTAACAAATATATATCGCTTTATAAACCGTTAGTTTTTATTTAAATGTGTTACTCGCGTTAACTACAGACAGGGTACTCTATGAGTAAAATAAAAGACAAGGCTGTAAGGCTAAATATATTTCTTGAAAATAATTGTATATTAATGCGAACATTGTATCTTAGCCTTTTGTGTATTCGTAAATAACTAAGCTAAGTATTGCGAAATTAAAAATAGTCTGATTCAACTTGCAGACCCTTAAACTTAATTATTATTGATTCTTCCCTTGACGTTTGTCGGGAACCTGAGTTTGATTAAAATACTACACATAGCGCAGAGCATTAAACGGAGGTAAAATCACTATTTACACTTATTAATTGTAAACGTGACTAATATACATAGTGAACTTAAAATTAGCAGTCTTACAGAGTAAATTACAAGACCATTAATGTAAGTTTATAATACTATAGTTATATATATATTCCTTGCGCTTTTTCAAATTCTAACAAATTTATATTGAACATACATTTTATTGGACATTAATTTTATTGATAAGAACACATTTCCATACGCAATTTTCAAACATCGGCTCTGTACCACGTTGTAGAGAACAGCTTATCTAACTTTGTAAAACAAGAAGATAATTCAAATGAAAATAAAAAATAACATTGTATAGATGATTATTATGTAAAACAAGAGATTTCACCTAAATATACGTAAAACTACGTACGGGACAATTTTGCATATTATAAGCGAAAATTGGACGAGACAGACAATCTTAATCAGTAGTCTGTTCTCTATTTAATAAAACACTTTTAACGGTTTCAATCGCGAACTTTATTGGTTGGCTTATTTCAAATTTCATTGGGCCGTTTACAAATTACAGTCAACAAATATATTTCGCATTTCAAACCGTTAAAGTGTATTATTTAAAATTTTCTGTAAATTTTAAATAATACATAGTTAAATACAATATACATTTAAACAAAACACTAAATGGTTTAAACGTTAAAATATATCAATTACTATTTTTTAACGTATAACAGTTTCCAATATTTAGTTCAACCATAATTATGGCTGTTTCAAAAAAAGGGCAACTCATTTATATCACGTTTCAATCGGTTGAAAGTGTTTCATTTAGGCGTTTCATATTCAAAATTACAATATGGAAATAAAATAATTGCTGTCCATATATATTGCTACCTATGATATTAGGCAGAGAGGAATCCCCTTTACAATAGGTCAATGAACTTCCCCGCGACATCTGCTTTGCTTCATCCCCAAACAACGAGCGACCATACACAACCAATTTGAAACACGATGAGCACGATTTCTTCTCTCCATACCCGGTTCTATGAAGTGTTCACGCATTGTATAGTGGTGGGTCGTTTCGTAGTTGAAACAGTGGTACCATTTCCCACTCTAAAGTAGCCAACGGACGTCGTCACTTTTTTGGCTTCCTCGTTGTTGAGTAACTGGAAACAGTACAGAGTTAAGGTTGAAATTACGTTGCAAGAAAGATACATGTTAATTAGGTTGAAAAAAAATCGATGACGGTATAGGCCGCGGCACAGAAAGTGTTTAAACGTGAAGTACATCTACCAATTATCCACTACAATTGTTGTTTTGTGAAAGTGTCACAGTGTTTTTAGCGAATTTCATTCTGCCGTGTCGTCAAACATTTCGTAAAAAGCGTACGCTACCGTCATTCATACCTACCTTCATCCACCGTACATTATAGTTTTATATTGCCTACCAAACAACAAAATGACACAAAAATGCTCGGTGTGTGGGAAGTTTGCTTCGACGGAGGTAATTAAATGTACGCGTTGTGATTCCCATTGTCACAAGCAATGCGCTATTAGCATGAAACCAGATGCTTAGGGCCGCAGACGCTGGTAAGGCAAGGGTATTGGAAAGGGCAAGAACAAACCTACTGAGATGCAACATAGCGACCAAAGTGTATTCCGGCAAGACATGGAACTAGTGCATTCTGAGATGTTGAAAGTGGCGGAAGAAATGTCACTGTTTCGCCAGGAATTGTCTCAGCTTGACACCATTTTGTCATGCTTGAATAAACGATGCGATGACATCGAAAGCCGTATGACGTCATTGGAGAAAGCTAACGAGTGCTTTAGAAGCAAAAGTTGGTGTGCTGGAAGTGGACTTCTGGAACCATTGCTCTTAAGCGGACGATGTTGAGATTTTAGGAATTATAAAAAAACAAAATGAGAACATCATTGATGTTACTAAATCTATTGTTCTAAGTCTGGGTGTAGATGTAGACGATCGCGACATTGTGTATTCCGAAAGGGTTCCGTTCTATTACTTCAGACACAGAGAAACCTTCTCGACCGCGTGCTATTATCGTTGGTTTAATTTTTTTAAGTAGTAATTTATCAATTAAATTAATAATGTAAGAATGTAAATCATACAAAGGCAATACATTTTTTAATAATGAATGTAAGATTAAACTGTAAATTTGAATTTGCATATATAAAATCCTAAGGGAAAGTGTCATAAATGATAAATGTGTCATTTAATAAAACTATATTCTATTATAATTTCTAAGTGTAACTCTAATAAGTGTTAAGTGTGCATGTTTAATATTAAAATGTCTAACAACCTTGCTTCCGTTAGCTCGGCCTCTGAAGGGGCCACAGAATATCAGTGTTGGGATCAGTCCCAACGTAGCTGAGTGGCTTCCTTTTCAGAGGCAACTATAGTATTTGATTTAAATTTTATTCACTTCTTGATATTATCTTTAGGTTCAGTTTTAATTGTAAATGTTGTTTCTGAATAAAGTACTAAAGCTAATTGGTACTAACAGCGCGGAACACTAGATGCCGGGTCAAGTCCTGCCCGTGTCATAATGTTTTTCAATTTACAGTGAGTAAATATGTGGGTTAATTCAAATTATATTCTGAGTTGTGTAATGTGTAATATTTATGTTTATTTATCAAAGTATTGCATCAAGTATACAGGGTGCTGCATAACGCCAGACAGAAAACATACTATTAACATCATTGTGATAAGTGATGGCACCCTATATATGGACACTGCAACCTATTAAAGCTTTAAAATTGGGCACAGCTCTGTAATATAGAGTAACATTAGGATATATTATATTAATGAAATTTAAGATAAAAATACTTTTTTATTCAGAACGATCGGCGCCACCGGCGTTGTACTCTGCTTGTATGTGCCGACGCACTTCAAACTTTGATTTCCACAGCTGTCGTCCACAACGCTGACTAAAAATTAAAATAAAAGATATGTTATTGTAATGTTTTTTTTACCATGGCCTTCAGTTAGTGGGAGGTAAAATACCTTATACGTCTGCTATATGTTATGCTTATATGTTGTCGACCTATTTTGGTTTTCGGTATTGGGAAATCCACAGACTGGAAGCAACGTTTTAAGGTGGTTTACGGCTCGGTTGGAATTCGGAGCGTTTTTTCATGATAAAGAACAGACAAGCATGGGATCCAATTGTTGGAAGTAAAAATATCCAATATTTAAACCAGATGCGCTATCGACTTATTTTGGTTTTAGAATTATTATTATTATTATTTTTTCAAGCTAAATTTTTTAAATTTAATAAGAGGCAGTTCGATTCAGCTCAGATTTCGGTGCTATTCTCGACCGAACAATTTCTTTTCCCGGGATTTGAACCAAGGATCTATCGAGGAGGTAATCTTTAATATTTGGTGATTATCTTAGATTATTTAGAACATCATATGGCTCAACTAACTTCTTGTACTTATAAGGGACGTTTTCTGGTGTAGCTGCTCCGAAGTGTACACTCGCGTCGGCGCAACATTTTTGTTACCCGTTGACAATGTCGATACTGTTGTGCTCTTCTATAATCAAGACACAAAGCATTAGATATTAAAGTATATAAAATATAAAAAAAAATCTTGTACAAAGCAACGTCTGTAGTTAACGCAAATAGCACATAACATTTATAAAATACACTTTAAACTGTTTAAAACGCGAAATATATTACTTTATAATTGATTTTAAATACATTCCGGCGTTTTTGATGATTTGCAGCACTCGGTCGTGGGGTACTAAAGATGGAGGGTGTTACTGACGTCAAAGTCAAAATTACTACACCAGCGCCATCTATGTATATATTTCGCGTTTTAAAATGTTTTATTTAAATTCATATTCATTGTGATATTGAAAGGGCTCGAATAACAAATTGAAACTTAATAATTTTCGAACACAATAGAGTGCAAGTCATAAAACTGAGATTGTCTCAAAGGCGTATTATTGTTTGAGCGATTTCTTTAATGACAAGGCTGCTTGGCAGTGATATGAATTGCTCCTTAGGTTAATGAATTCACAAAAATTAATTATTTTTTAAGACATATTTTAAAAACCCGGACTGAGTCACTTGTGTGTACTTCTCGGTCATGTTGCTCTTGGGAACACTGTAGAATCACGACAGACAGACAAACATTTTTCGTCGAATCTAAATAATTTTTGAAATTTTAAAGAGAATAAAGTTCATTATATTTATTTAAATACGAAATAGTCTCGGACCAAGGTTTTTGTCAAAATCTTAGATTACATATTGATATACATATAACTTTGCCTTAATTTCCTCGCGACGTGTAGTGCATCTTTATCTCATTACAGGTTTACTGTTACGTCGTAAATAACGGAGAAACAAACTCATTTTCGTAATGACATCATTGAAAATTCTCGTTCAACTTACTGGGCGTCCCGGCGCCGGCTGCAGCGTTGTGTGGATTTCCTTCGAGTTTTTGTCACCTCCATTTCCCTATAAAAGAACAATATGATTCGAATAGAACAGACATCTTCACTCGATACTAGGCGAAAATCAACAGACTTAAACCGAAACGCGATACAACTTAGGGATTTTATCATCTGTGGTCGCTGACTCGTTCCCGACGAAATATAGATATTCCTACCACCAATAGAATGTTTAGTCTTTACGAATTTATTTTAAATTACTTAGAAAACCATTAGACCTGTTCTCTATATATATAGAACAACTAGCTTTTTAAAAAAAGTATTTTTTTAGGTTCCTCGTAAAGTAAAATATATACTCAAAATCGATCAGGACTCGAACTGGCATCCACAGCCTTGCGTGCTGCTGCTCTAACCGATTAGCTCTCTGACGCAATTTTTAAACGATTTTTAATTTTGTGTAGTGCCATCATGGGCAAATAACATGTCAGAAATATTGTTGATATTTATATTTCTTTCGTTTAGTCCATACTATCGTGACGCAGTACCTGTGCCTTGGGCTGCGTACACACTCCGGAATGTTGCGTCCAGTGCGCCCGTTGGCACGGGTAGTCGCAGTACGACGTGTTCCAACAACAATAGAACTGTGCCTCTTGCAGACAGTTGGCACACCTGAAAATGCATAAATAAGTTCAGATGTATTTATGTCCCACTACTGAGCACAGCTCTCTCATCATAAGAGAAAGGTTTAAGAGCTTGACCCACCATGCTGCACCAGTATGGATTAGCACGCTTTTGATAACTTCCTCATCTACCTCGTATATTGTTATAACTCCGCTAGATATTAAAAATTAAATTAATAAATAAAAAAATATGAATTAAAGGAAAACTATTTGTTTTGTTTATTTGTCGTTCTTGTGGCTTTAAGTATTAGTAATTGGATAACCAGTAACGGATTCATACACGATTTTTTGTGTCATTATTATTTGACTCGACGATTCGAGCGCTTTGCATCCTTCTATTCGCGACTCTATGTAAATATCAGACTTGATAATCTTTTATCTGTCCTTTATACAATTTTATTAATTTAGTGGGTAAATTAGTATAAGTTCACACTAAATTAATAATGTTTTGCTAAATGATTTTTAGGTAGTTCATTAATGTAATATATAATCCAGTGTTTAATATAAACCTTGTGAGGAAATCACGATTTCATCTAAATTGTGTTTGTTTACCAAAAATGCCAAGTTAGAAAAAATACACTATATACAATATTATTTCGTTGTATGTGAATTTCATTTCACTTAAGCTCTCATGTGGAAATGTCCTATCTACCCTATATTAGCAAAAAAACAATAGTTATTGGATACAGTTTATCTTTAACTGTGGGTAACTCGTAGTAAGTGAGGGTAAAACCTTACCACTGCTTGGCCTTTGTGGCTTTGACGGCCGCCTCCAGGTCAATCTGCGAGGCGCGTCGGACTTCGTTCACAGCGCGGTTCTTGTCTCTCTCGAACGACGCTCTCATCTCCACGAGTGTTAACTCTGAAACGTTTCAAAGAAAATGATTTTTATTGTTTATTAACTAGTGGCTTACCTCGTATGGCAAATATTCGGCGGGTTCGATCCCCACCATGGCCTCTAGAACATTGTGGACTTCGCCAAGGAGTCGGGACATTAAATGGGTCGTCCGTATAACAAATGAAAGCCGTGAAGTTTATTCGCGCTTCGCTTTCAGTCTGTGGATTTAATTGTCCAAAGCTTATATATAGGTCGACAAAGTATGTGGTTCAGATATTACATGGCTGGGTAACCTTCCGTTAAAAATATAGAGAGACAGCGAAGTCTTGTAATAGAAACCGTTCTTATTTTTTACGCTGGAATAGAATGGTATCCAACAAAGAGCATAGTAGTAGAGTAGGCTTGCTGCAAAATTTATTTTATAGTCTGAATGCTTTCTTCAAAAATAACTATCAACATTTTATGCCAAAGTCTAGCCGACCAGTTGGTTAGTAAGACCATTATATTAGGACTTACACTTTCAAATAATAGTCGTAGGGATGTTAGATGTCATGAAGTATGTTTTGGCAAAGTGCATTACCGTGGTTATGTTTCAATTCTTCCATTTCCTGGTTATGCTTCCATTGCAACTGCTCCAGGTGTAATTTCAGGGAGGTCATATGGGCCAAGGGATCGTTTACTTTGTCCAAGGTGTCTTCTAGAAGCGTCCGGAAGAAATCGGCCAACTGAAACATTGGAACACTGTAATAAGATTCTCTAAAACCACATATTTTTTGTGTTCTTAAGATAATCTTAATTAAAATAAACTGCTAAGTAAGCTATAGATAATACAAAAAAAATCTAGTTTTTTTATAAAGCTAAGACATTTTTCTAACTCTAAACAATTATAAATCAAAAAGTCCCCCCCCCCCCATTTAGTTCAAACTCAAACTTTTTGTCACTGTCCTTGTACCTTAACAGAGTTCTGGTTAATTTTTGCAGTGAGCGGTCCAACCGTGGAAGGCGGTGGCAGCGTCCCTTGTGGCGCAGCTGGGTCGAAGGGATTGATCAATGGCTTGTGTTGAAGCCGCGGTAACTGGAAAGTGGAAGTAGTTTTCGTTAGTACAATGGTAACAATATGTGGCCATGATAGCGATAATCAATCATCTCAAAATTAATATGTAAATGTTTAGACTTTAGACACATGTTCAACTTCGGCTGGAAAGTCTGGATATTGAATAGGTGGTAGGAATAGTGAAATTCCGTCCAGGTCCCGAAAAACAGTTAAAAAGCCGTTAAGTTTAAATCCGCGATCAAATTCCATCGAAGCCCTGTCCTCGTACATGATAACATTTCTCAATTTATTGCTTACAATGCAAAAGTTTAAAACAGTTATTGTTACTAAGACGTCTAAGTTAATAAGATATACCTGCGTATTTCCTTCGTCCTTCCTAGCTTGCGCCGTGTTAATTTGCGTTAGCACTGCACTGCTGCTGACTGGTGTAGGAACGGCCACCAGAGGCCCAGAACCTCTCTCTCCCACGCCGTTGGTCATGGAATTATTTGATGAAGTCTGTAAGAATTAACAAATCGGAAATAAATTGGCCCTCAAATCGTCGAAAATAATACTTTAAATGCATAAAACGATAAAATCATCAAGTAGTTTGGTGCAAAGAATAGCATTATTTCATCAAGATTGAAGTCTTGTTACATTTATCGGCTCGGTAAGTCAGTCAGTCGCTCAACATATAGACATGTATAGTGGGTTATAGATCGCGGCACGGATGTTTAGCGCTGAACGAATCCTGCGCAGAAGTATGTGGGTTTATCTTTTGAAATAATACAATACATCAACTTACATCAACCCCTCCAACGGACATAATCGGCTGCAGACTGAACGTCCACTGTCCATTGACGGGTGTCAAGAAAGGCACAGTGTGCACACTTGTGGGCACGGGTCCGACAGAGGGTATCGCATTCAGGGCTTGTGTAGACAGAGCGATACTAGGATTGGTGTTCGATATCACGTTGGTTGTTCTCGCGTTGTTCACCAGCGATATACTCGAACTGACCATGGTAGGCGTGAGAACTGTCATCACTGTATTTAAAGTGCTGGTGGCTGAAAGTTGAAAGTTTTTTCTTTTTAAATCTATATCATACTACTATATAAAGGCGAAGAGTTTGTTTGCTTGAACGCGCTAATGCTAGGAACTAATGGGTCGGTTGAAAAATTATTTTGTGTTGGTTAGAGCTTTTTTTGAGGTAGACTTTAGACTATAAAACATCACGATGCGAGCGATAGCAGCGAAGATACAAAGTAAAAAAACGGAAAAAATATTCTTCTTTAAGGGTTTCCGTTGCGTGCGCTGCGAAAACAGTTCAAGATAACTAAAAAAATATATATGAAGGAATGATTCCTCGTTAAATAAATCTAAAAAATGTCAGCGGCAGTATATATTATCTATCTTTTGCTATTAACTTGTAAGAACGACGAGACGCGAATGACGTTGTTGGTAATAGTTTAAATTTATAGAGTTGAAGAGGTTGTTTGTAAAAACAAATTTTGGTTCTCAAAACAACCATTCTCCGCGGATGAAAACGCTGACACAGGTAGTATAGGCTGAAGATTAAAAGATGTCTGTCTGTCATCACAAATAACGCATTTACACAAACTGAGTAAAAAACAATTGGCAAGAAAGATAATTAATTTTTTCACAAGTAAATATCCTTTTTCTTCATTACTCACCTGCAGCTGCGACCGATGTCTCAGACCTCGCCGGGGTGTTAGCCGCGCCATTAGCATTCCCTGGTCTCTGCGGTCTCATCGGCGAGGTCCCAGTGGCCGGCTGTATCGGAATATACACCATCAAATTCTCGCTGTTCAGCTGGGAACGTTCCTCCGATTTCTTAGCTTGTGGAAACGTTTTCTTGGCCTTAACGCGACTTTCGGGCTTCTGAACCGTCTTCCTGACTATCGGCGTAACGACGAGTTTGTTTATACGGACATCGCGGAGGGCATTCGTGCTCGGATTCCCAGGCGGAACCACCGGCTGTAGTCTGAACGAGCTCATCATTTGCAGTTTCTCCGCTTGTCTATCGCTGTCACCGAAATCAGGCGGTTCAGACTTTACCTCTACTTCTGGATTCTCCGTTCGCGTGAGTGTTGCTTCTGGAGACTTCATTCGCGCGAAAGCCCGTACGCCGACGCGACCGACCGCAGGTGGATCCGACTGTCGTAACTTTCGCAGCTTGTTAACGGCTTCTTTCATGTTTCTGACACTCTCTGTGCTAGTTGGCGTAAATATGCTCGCATTGGAATCCGCGTCCACGTTCACCTCTATGAAATTTGAATCACTCTCGTTGTCTAATAAACTCCTAACATTGCTTATAACGGGCATGTCTGCCATATTAGATCCTCGTCGAGATATGACAGCTAGACTCGTGTCATCGTCGAATTGTAAACGTTCTCTGGAAGTTTTAGTTTTCTCTGTGCTTTTAGGCGTACTTTTCGTTATTACAAGTTCTACATCCGGACTCTTAGTCTTGCCTTTGGCATTCTTGTCTTTAGCAGCAGGTTTTTGATTAGATTTAGATTCGTCTTCATTAGATGGTTTTTTCAGGAGGCTATCTTTATTATTAACACTTAGAAGACTTTTATTTTTTATAACATTACTAATTGCATTTGCCTTCTTTTTAGGGTTTCTATGTTTGTCCCTGGATGTTACTTTACAGCTTGAATTGAGTTTTTGAATGTTTAATATTTTCAGACTTTTTGGCATAGCTTTTCCAAACTTAACTTTTATAAATTTACTTTTGTTAGTTAATTTCGTCTCGTTTTTAGGTGCACTAGAAGGCTGAGCCACAGTTTCTTCCTCCTTCGCGGTAGTGCTATTTGGTAGTTCTTTGTCTTTATCTTCCTTATCTACATCTTCTACTGTTCTATCTTTTTGTGTGTTTATTTCATTGACACTTTTGTTTTGCTCATCATTCTTTTGTTTTGCTGTTTCTTCGCTTTCTTTTTTAAGATTAGGAGTACTAGGCTCTTTGTTTATCCTTCTTCGTTTCACTTTCGTGCTGTTTTCGATAATTGTGATGACAGCTTCCTCTAATTGAGATCTTCGCCGCTTTCTCGTCGACTTCCTTTCCTTATTTTTATCTTCGTCTATATCCATTGGTTTCTCCCTGTAAAATATATAATGTAAAGCATCATAGACGTAACTAAGGAAATTATCTAAAGAAAATTAACGACTCTTACGCTTCATTTTCGTCATCTGGTCTAATTGTGTAGTCTGCTTCGGGTGTTTTTATTGGTGTCACACGAATATCCTCCGTTTCACTGGCCTCTCTGGAATATTATCAAGACCTCATAGGATAAACCAATAGAGTACGGAGCAGATGTATAATGGAACGACAAAGCCCAGTCTAGTAAGCAGGTTGAAGTACTAAAACCATTATGTGGGGCATAAGGGCAAACGTATTATTGAGTTTGGTTTTCAAATCCATTATATTTGCTGGTAAGTAAATGAACAAAACTGTGCAACCTTAACGTTATTCCTTAATGTTCTCCTGGGGTTTGAACCCAGAAGCTTCCACGCTCAAGGCGTGTTTTTATGTTAGCAAGAATACAAACTCACCCTTCAACGATAGAACTTTTAGAGCTCTTGGAGTTAGACCGTCGTTTTTCATTAATTTTCCGCGACGACGATGTTAGCTTCTCTTTATTTTGAAATCTTAACTCTCCTTCAAAACTCGGGATCTAAAAGATAGATGTTTATGATTTTTACGAATACGATTTCTACACGGCCTGCCAAAGGCACCATCTAAAATCGCCAAAACTGTTCTGTAGTATTTATTAGTTGCTACAGCAAATCGCAGAATGTATAAAAATTTCAAAAAATTTTAATTATTACAGGTCACAAAATACAGCCATGCACACAAACAGCAGTAACAAATACATACCATGAGCTTTAACTGTTCAGTAATTTTGCTCGGCTCAAACGGCGTCTTGAACGGCGGATACACAAACTTTCCGTATTTCCTTGATATGTTCCGAATGTGTTGTTCTGCTTCCTATAATAATAAAAAACTTTACAATACTTCTAAAAATTTAAAACACAAAACATATCAAATAACAGCTAATATATAAGGTCCATTTTCATACTTATATATGTTTTGCCTAGTATTGCGTTAAGCGTTACAGGTTCGAATCCTTAGGAAAAATAGATTCTTTCGGTCGGACAAGCCACAGAAGCCTGATCAACTTCTTGCCTATACGTAAAGCCGATCAGTGAAACATACACCGAAGTTTGTTCGCCCTTGTCCCACATGCGGAAACTCGGATTGGCCTCAACTTAGCATTATGTTATAGTACGAAGAAGAACTGGCTGGAGGAAACTCGCCGCCACTCTCTTGACGCCAAGAGCGGTGGAATAAATACGATAATTTATTTCTCCTTTTATATTTTCTATTTGTTTTGTGTTATAAATAATAAAGCTTTAATAAATAAATGAAATGCGTCATTTACCTGCATACTATCCAGTATCTGCTTCTTGGAACGGAAGTTGTTAGGGTCGTTTTCTGAGTAGAGATAGCAATCCTTCGCGGGGACCCAGGCACGGTCGTGAGCACCAAAGAAGCGCACATCCACCACGCCAGAGGCATTCACAGACATCCCCTTTGCTGGCCAGTAGGGGAACCCTGTTAGATCAAACAATTAATACTATATCGTACTAATCATATGATTATAGGAATAGAATGTATCAAGTAAGAGTAGAGTCCCGCGAAGGGTCCCGTTATTTGTATTGATGTTTCTTCGTACAACATACAACAGTAGGTACACAATTTTCACATAGTACCTTTGGCCTAATAGCACGGCTAATAAAAGATGTCCTGGAAACCTAATCATCGTATATCGAAAATTCCGGTCGGGCCAACCACCGTCCGCGGATCAAAAGCGGTGAAGTTTAATCGTATTTCGTTGCAGTCGGAAATCTACATTCCAAATATCCAAAGCCATCATCAAATAAACCTACTACTTACGATTCATTAATATTGAGAAGAGAACTCGACTGTACTCTCCGCCTTTATTTATTTTAGATTGTTTTGAGTAATAATGCACGCTTTGTCTTAAATCTAAGTCATTATATATGGTTGTTCTTAACATACTGTCTGGCAAAAAACAGACAGGGGAATCTAAAAACCAACCAACTTAGATTCCAATTTTATCTCGCATGCTTATTTTTTCTCCTGTGTAAAATATAATTTTGAGACTATTTCATTATGACCGCAAAACTATTATTGAATGATTTATGCATAAGTCCCTCTCAATCTCTCTGTAAGTAAGTATGTATGAACCTATAAAACCACTGACCCTTCAATTTTGCCCAGAGCAGGATGTGTGGGGTGGAGCAGACGTCCGTGAACCAGGTGAGCTTTCGGGCGTGTGCCGCCGCGTAGCACTCGGGACACGCCTCGATCTCGCCCATCTCCGTGCGACAGAGACGCACCAGCGTGCGCGCAGCCTGCGTCAACTTCGATTGCACTGCAAATTTGTTTGGCATCGGAACTAAATCGTAACACAATTCGAAAACTTAATCACCATGCCATCATAACACTATCGTTGGTGGAAAGGTTGCAACGTAGGCAATGGGTTCGATTCCCATAGAGTCACCTGATATTTCTCAAATCAATTTATATATTTTTTGGAAATTATTGGATTTTTTCAGGCAAATATGGATGTTAAATGTCCACCCGGGTCATGAAGTACTGTTCATACATAAGAAAGATGAGAAGAAAAACTACGTTTCAATTTCAGTTTTTGAATTATAGGGGGGGGGGAAAGGTCGACAGGGGGAAAGGTATACCTAAATACGGGGGGGGGGGGGGGGGGGGGGGGGGGGGGGGGGGGGGGGGGGGGGGGGGGGGGGGGGGGGGGGGGGGGGGGGGGGGGGGGGGGGGGGGGGGGGGGGGGGGGGGGGGGGGGGGGGGGGGGGGGGGGGGGGGGGGGGGGGGGGGGGGGGGGGGGGGGGGGGGGGGGGGGGGGGGGGGGGGGGGGTTTTTATTGTGGGGGGGGGGGGGGGGGGGGGGGGGGGGGGGGGGGGGGGGGGGGGGGGGGGGGGGGGGGGGGGGGGGGGGGGGGGGGGGGGGGGGGGGGGGAGGAGGGGAAAAGGGGGGGGGGGGGGAGGGGGGGGGGGGGGGGGGGGAAAAAAAGGGAAGGGGGGGGGGGGGGGGGGGGGGGGGGGGGGGGGGGGGGGGGGGGGGGGGGGGGGGGGGGGGGGGGGGGGGGGGGGGGGGGGGGGGGGGGGGGGGGGGGGGGGGGGGGGGGGGGGGGGGGGGGGGGGGGGGGGGGGGGGGGGGGGGGGGGGGGGGGGGGGGGGGGGGGGGGGGGGGGGGGGGGGGGGGGGGGGGGGGGGGGGGGGGGGGGGGGGGGGGGGGGGGGGGGGGGGAAAAAAAAAGAAAAAAAAAAAAAGGCGGGGGGGGGGGGGGGGGGGGGGGGGGGGGGGGGGGGGGGGGGGGGGAAAAAAAAAGGGGGGGGGGGGGGGGGGGGGGGGGGGGGGGGGGGGGGGGGGGGGGGGGGGGGGGGGGGGGGGGGGGGGGGTTTTTCGGGGGGGGGGGAAATTTTTTTTGGGGGGGGGGGGCGCGGGGGGGGGCCCAAAGGGCAAAAGGGGGGGGGGGGGGGGGAAAAGGGGGGGGGGGGGGGGGGGGGGGGGGGGGGGGGTTTTTTTTTTTATTTTTAAAAATTATTTCTTTAAAAAAAAAAAAAAAAAAGGGGGATTTTTTTTTTGGGGGAAAAAAAGGGGGAAATGGGGGTTTGGGGGGGAAAAAAAAAAGGGGGGGGGGAGGGGGGGAAGGGGGAAGGGAAACGGAATTTTGGGGGGAGGTCTACTAAATACCTAAATTATTTTCACTTGTCTGTCATTCTTAACACTTGAGAAGAACCCAGAAGCTTCATTGAGTATATATCTTATAATGAAAATCCATCCATTTAATGGATAAGCAAGTGTCTTTTTGTAAATTGCCCTCCATCAATTCATTTATGACTAGCAAAATAGTCACTTACGATTGTTAAAAATTATGCTGTTGTGTAGTATCCATTGCGTGTCAGCAAGGAACGCTTCCGGACTACCGTAAAGACCGTTTTCAATGTTCTTCTTCATGAGCGAAAGGTCCATCGGATGAACCACACATTTATCGTAATCGGGAAATGCTGACCGGTCTACGGGCTGCATGAACGGCTCCACCTGAAACCAATTATTATTTCATTAGATACTAGGCTATGTCAGCGACTTCGTCCGCGTAGATTAATTATTTTGGGCATCTAAATTTTGTTTTTTTAACCCACGCCGTCGGTCGCGTACCTTCGTTCTTGCAAGTTTATCTTAAAACATACACATATAGTGTCGCAGATAGGAATCGTGCTATTATATATATTGTTTGGTATCTTGAACCGTTTTCGCAGCGTTGGGAACTAAAATTTACAAGGATTCATCCTTTCGAATTAAAAAACGGGAAATAATTATTCATTTTGTTTCTGTTTTTCAATTTGAATCTGCAGTTCCTGATATTAACACATTCAAACAAACAAACTCTTCAGCTTCATATGTTAGTATACAGTATAGATGTGCGCCCACTCCATTATAAATGCAAGTTTTTGAGGATGTTTGTTGCTCTGTAATACAAAAACTACTGAATAAATTTTAATAAAACTGTATAACTTGTGGTACTATAAGCTTTTCAAAAGTTTATTATTGTTAAATTATGGAATAATTGTGTGATTGTGACGGCGTGAATAGAGCACCAGTGCTAAACGCTGTGGAATTATTTCCATATAAAACAATAATAATTAATATAACGAACATGTGCATAGCAAAATTTTTTAATCATTACCATTTTTACGGATTACGAAAATTTATGAGATACAAAATCATGATAATAAGCACTTGCTATCGTCGCTTCCCTAGCATGTGACCCGTTTATTATTAGACAGAGAGAGACAGGTACAGATATATTCGTATTGATTTTATACAGCGCGTGAAAGGGACGGAAGATGCAGCGTCGGTCCCGCGTCGCGGCAGATAATAGCAAGGTCATTTCGCCAATCCAGCTACGTAGCATCGACGCTTTTTGCTTACGAATCGTAATATATAGTTAGGAATAATTAAGTTTTATTTTCCACTAATCGACGAAAACAGACAATAGATTGTAGTATATTTTGCAATAAAACCATCGCGACTGTCATAGTATTCAAAGTCTATAAACACGTCCGCCATTTTGTGTATAAGTAGCATGACGAAATAATCACATTTTTACGTCATACATATTCAAATATTTTAAACAAATCTGTATTAAAATAAAACACTTTAACGGTAAAAAGCGATATATTTTGAGTTACAATTGTTTGAAAATTACAAAACAAACAACAAACAAATTTAACTAAAATATGTCGCGTTTTAAACCGTTAAAGTTTATTTAAATGTGTACTACTCGCGTAAACTACAGACAGTATCAAATTTGTATTTCCAAAATTAGAATACCTAATACATATTAATATATATCTCATCCCAAGTGCAAACTCTATCTGAAAATATTAGTTTTTTTTTGTTTTTAAATGAATATGCAATGAGAAACAAACAAATATTTACCCCATTAACTTCCATCATGCGCGTCAAAGCGTGTTGTAATAGCTCGCACAAGAGTCCCAAAGATATTTTCTTCATGGAGACTGATCTGAAATTTGTTTTGAGATAATAAGATGTACATACTTATAACATTTTAAATATCTTGGTTTAAGTTACTTTTACTTACTAATAACTGAGATTTGAATAATTTTGTATGGCACATATATTTGAAGTTCATTAAATTTTTTATTCATACCTTGTTTCTGAGCTTTCCGCCTGCAATATTCCCAAACATTCGGGACACACCCAGCTTCTTTGCAAATCAATCTTATTCCTCTCCGTACTCGATAGACACTTGTAGTGGTATACACGAGGACAAACTGTGCAATTCATGGGTGGACGACTCTTCTCAGTTGTACCCATTTCTATAGCCCAGTGGCAATGCCAGCAGTATGGGTCGACACGAAGCCTTTTGTCTCCTTTCTATATTTATAAAGTCAAGAAACAGTATGAAGAAATGATCACATAGTTAAATAGAACATCAACAATGTGACTTTACAAAGTTCAAATACACAATTTTTACTTACACTTTCCAAGGGTATACTGTCAACAACTTTTTTCTTCTTAGGCGAAGGTGAAGCCTCTTCTTTCTTTTGTATGGAGTCGTGTTCATCATCAGAATCACGATTGTTACCAGTCACAGAGTTTAGAAACTGTTTGACCTTATTGACAAATTCTGGGTTCTGTGACCTCATAGACCGTTTTGTGGCCTTCTCGGACTTTCCACTGCAGTTACTTTTAGATGAAATATTACTATTGCGGCGAGCTGTAATCTTGTCGGCTTCAGTTGATGTATTTAATTCCAGTGGTGTTCGAGATTTGCGTATTTTACTTGTTAATTGTGTACATTCACTAATCAACTTAGATTCTTTTGCAGAATTAATTAAAGATTTCAGTTCCCTGCTTATACTTTTGTTATGCTCTTTCTCGCTGACATCTGGACTAGTATGAAGTATTGAGTCATCAGCTTTGTCACAGTCCTCCTTTCCAGCTACTTGAGCAGTATTAACAGTCTCTTTTGGCATTTCAAGGGAGGTACTTGTTTCAGGTAGGTCTACTATAGAAGAACTAGCAATTGACTCCTCCTTCTTTTTCTCTGCTTCATTTTCTGAAGTTGTTTGTGAAGAATTTTCTTTATTCGTAACCATCTCCTTGGTCGGAGACTGTATTTTACATGAGGAATCAACAACATGATTTAATTCTTTAACAGGAGAAGTCTTGGGGATCTGTGTGTTTCCTTGTTCAGTTTTTGTTGGAGTAGTACTTTTAGCAATATTTAAATCCTTTGTAGGTGTTGTGGTACTTGGTGAAGCAATAATATTTGATGAATTTATTTCTTGCACTGGTGATGTACTGCTTGGTGAGATTATGGCAGGTGCAGAAGAGTTACCCTCTTTTAATGGCGATGCAACTTTTTGTACAGTACCAATCTTAGTTGGTGAACTGACAGTACTTTTTGTTTCTTTCTCTTTTATTGAGGATGCCACTAATGAAGCAACATCTTCATTTAACTCTTCATTCTTTAAACTTGACTGGAGTAAAGATGTTTCTCCATTTTCCTCTACCTTCTCCACAGTAATAATCATCTCAATGTGACCCCCACCAGGCTCAGTTATTTCTGTAACCTCTGGAACATCTGCAGTAGTTGAAGACACATCTGTGTCTCTATTAATATCTGAATTGTCCCCCATTTCCTAAACAAAATTGAAACATATTAAAACATAGTTACTGTATGCGAAAAATCTATCTATTAAGTACAATCATTAAATGTAAAAGAAATTCAGGTAATACAGCGATATTATTATACTGAGACCGGTCATTGCCCAAGCACAGCCATCCAGGCGGCCTGTCTACTTTCAACACAGTTACAAATACATAAGTACCGAATCTCACCTCACGTTTCTTTTATCGTAACATGAAACACTATGTATAATTGAAGATGTATACTTTGAACAGTTTGCTTTTGGGCATTCATAAATTTGTTATCAACGATCCACTGTATTGGACGACATCCAGTTTAACAAAACAATTGAAAATTTTACACATTACATTGCCCTCACAAACTGTCGTGTGTTGTACTTTTCATTCTATCTTTAGTTGTTTTTCTTATGGAACCTACAGATGGAGCTAACAGCTGCAATTTACAGATTGGTATCCTTCTTTTTTACTATATAAAATCATACTTCCGTCTCGCTCACGCTCGTAAGTGTTTGATTCAAATGAGAAGCATGTCTCTCATTCTACGTTTTATAGCTGTCTCTTTTATACAAATAATAAACACATTGAGCAGTGTTCGATATCCGATTGCCTCTGGGTTTTGACACAACGAACGTGTCCCGGACTGTGATTCGTCTAAAAGTATTTTCATACCAGGCAATACAAGTTCCTTACAATTTTAGATATATAAATATGTATAGCAACATTAATTCAAATTGACAATTGACTACGTATAAACTGACAAATGTTATCCAAATGAACTTAGGTTTTTAATTGCAAGTAGCGAAACTATCACAGTACATACATTTTTATTATATTAATAAATATTATGCGTAATGTTAAGAGATCTATAAAAATATGGATCTACATTAAGAGTTTTTAGAAAAATTTATTGTACATAAAGTTGTAAATATAACGTATTTCGTAGTTGTGTTTGTGTAAATATTAAAATCATTTAAAGCTTACCGATGGAATTGATCGAGCTTATACTTATAAATAAGTTGAATGGTGTGATATTGAAGTACCCCCATCATGATAACATAGATGGCTCCGTGTGTATCACAGGACACCACCTTATATTAAGCTCAAGGAAAGAAGGAGTTCGAGAGCTATGGGTATGAAATTATTATTTCCTTTAAAAAAATAAATAAATTTTGTGTTACAGGGGCAGTACAGTACTTGTAATGTTGTTATATTGTACATACTGTTTCACTAAAATATTTAACTTGATACACATTTCACTCAAAGGAAAGATTTAAAGAACACTTACATGCTTTGGAATCACAATTTTGTGTATACCTGAAAACATACTTTTGTTGAGTGTTGATTATTACTATATATATTCATTATCCTCTTATAGCAGGCCTCATCTCCAGGGATTTGATAATCATAGTCATCACATGAAAACTAATACTTATCTTTGTATTTCAGCTTCTTCATAAAAATATAGATAGCATAGAGAAAAAGGAGAATAAAGTTAGTGGAGGCATAGCCCAAGGCGGATCCCTATACTTAAAGTGCAAAGACCTCAGAATATTCCAATTGGATATAAGTAATTCAATGGAACTCAATCTTGTAGCACAGACATTGGAAAACTTGTCTAATCTACACAATCCCAGTCTATTTTATCCATTTTTTTACATACATATGCATCCGGTTATGGAAAATGGGTACACTCTGTATAGGTGAGTTCCTCTAACTGATAAATTAATAATATTGTTTAAATGTTTTATGTTAAAAAATGTTTATGTTAATCCTTTATTCCACTGAAGAAATCCGAATGAGAAGGAGTGATATAGTCTTCCTTATTACTAACAAGCAATCTCTTCTAGGTAAAAATAGAAACGAATTTGTAAATGAATTCAAAAACAATATGCTATCGCAAAATATAATTGGTTATTGTGATTAAGTGGGCGTAGTGTATATAAATTAACCATTTACATCAATTGTGACATAATGGTTTATCAACGTTGTCTATAGACCTGTGTCACACACAAAATTCAAATTTATGCATTTATATTTAAAGAAGTACAACAAATGTTACTTACATTTTTCAGTATTGAGGGAGAATTCACAAAAGTGCTTGCAACCGAGGAATGGAGAATATCTCGCGTCAACCAACATTACACTGCGGCTCGTGGTTATGCCCAAGCCGTTGTTGTACCGAAGGGTGTAGATGATGAAACTTTGTTGGCATCAGCAAGTTTTAGACAGGGTGGTCGCTTTCCCGTACTCTCATATAGACATAATAATGGGGTAGGTAGGTTGTTCTGCTATAGCATATACATTACATAGAAACTTAAGTAGATATAGTCATCTTTGTTTGAAACAGATATAAACTAGTTTACTTGATGTAAGGTCAACCCATTTTGGCTCAGTACATTCCATAAGCCACAGACTAATATAAATCACATTCACAGAATACTCAGCCCTTTCTTTTTCTTTTCTGATCTGAACTACATATTTCTTCAACATAATCAATTTCAGTTTTCTCACACGTGGTATAAAGTTTAAGAAATTTTATAAAATGATTAAGAAACATGTGGACTCGGTGTGAATCTAACCTCTGACCCGTTCAATCACCATACATGCTACTGGACGCACAAGTGCTAATTTAACTGAATTATCCCACGACCCACTGCCTGGTGGGCTTTTAATATATTGACAAAATATCATGGGTGTATCAAATAGAAATAATGACTTTTTCAGGCAGTGTTATTACGCGCTGGGCAACCTCTTTATGGTCCAAAACATAGACGATGCAAACCGGATGAAATTATTCTGAACTCTGTGGTCAATGTCGGGATGAAGGGTGTAATCTATGATTTGAGAAGCTCTAATTCAATATCACAACAACAAAATAAAGGTATATAGCTCGTGTTTCACTATATATATCTAAGTTAAATTATGTTAAAAATAAGCTGATTCTAAGAAGTGATAAATAATTAAATAAAGAGGTAATAATGCATGGTATCATTCCCACAAATCCTTAAAAATTAAGGATACAAGTTTCAAAATAGCAAAGAAACTAAATTGAATTAATATTTTCTCTAAACAAAGGTCTGTTTGATGCCAGACAGGTATTATGGTTCTCTACTCAGAGGTGAAAACGAAATCCTTAACACAAAGACTACTGTCTGAATGTCTGTAGGTAACTCAAGAAAGTAAAAAAATCCCAAAATTTGTAGTCCTGGAGCCACTATAACAAAAAAAATCACTAAAATCTTTTTGATTCAATATCGAGAAATATAAGTACATAAAGTTTACAATATGAAATTGGTATAGCGGTATAGAATAGTCTTACTGCGCAGGTCTGACTCACACTTGGCTGGTTGTAAAATTGTTTTTATTAAAATTACTATATGTTCGTCTCTTGACTTAATCTTGTTTTCAACGTGACCCCATCGTGTTACTGGTCTCCGTCTGACCCGTTTTCCTTTTGGGTCCGTCCGTCCAATTTGGTTCGAACTAAGATTAATTAACTTTATTTAAACTTCAGGTGGCGGAACAGAGAGTGCTGCAAATTATTCCCAATGGAGGATTTACAACCGATCCATGGATGACGTGGACAATCAGCAACAGTTATTGGAGAGTTTCGCCAAATTGATTGACGGTGAGAAATATTCAACATTGATTTAAACCTTGGCTTCTCGAACTGTTCGACCGTCGTAATTGAGAAATGTTTTTCGACGTTTCGCTTTCTTTAGTCGTAGTTACTTGACTTACCGAAATTTGAGTCTAAAAAGTTTGAAGGCTTTATACAATTTACCCTTTCAAATTTAATAAAGTTTCTTATTTAAAGTGCAGAGCTTGGGGTATTTTTTTTAATGTGATTATTCCAAATTCTTCCATCGAGTTTCACTCACTCTAACCACTTAATCTAGTTTTCAAGATAGAGGTCATGTCTTACATTTATTAATGTCTGAAAAACAACTTGATTATGGAAACATAGTAATTAGTTCCTCAGGAATCCCAAATCGAAAGTCAAATCAAACATAGTTATATACTGACTGTAGTGTACGCGAGTAGTACACATTTAAATAAAACACAATATCTATTAATTAAATTTATTTGGAAATTATTTTAACAATGGCCCGACGTTTCCTGTGACCATGGCTTTATCTCGTGTTTTAAACCGTTAAAGTGTTTGATTTAAACATGATTATATTCCATAAGACAATTATTTTTATAAATAAAATATGCGGTCGGATACAATAAGTAAATAAGTTTTTATGTAATTATTTAAGATTTGTTTTGTAATTCCAGCGTGTGTGGACAAGGAGATTTCTTGCGACAAATGGCTCTCGCGGCTCGAGTCATCCGGTTGGTCCGAGTCAGTACGCAACTCGCTTCACACCGCTTGCATTATTGCTCAACATATACACCACGTAATTATCTTTATATATTTCTTATTTATATTATAATTACTCTGTACCCTTACTCTATACACTTACTCCATACTCCAATTACTCCAACTCCACATTACTCCATACTCAACATTACTCTATACTCCACATTACTCCATACTCCACATTACTCCATACTCAACATTACTCCATACTCAACATTACTCTATACTCCACATTACTCCATACTCCACATTACTCCATACTCAACATTACTCCATACTCAACATTACTCTATACTCCACATTACTCCATACTCCACATTACTCCATACTCAACATTACTCTATACTCCACATTACTCCATACTCCACATTACTCCATACTCAACATTACTCCATACTCAACATTACTCTATACTCCACATTACTCCATACTCCACATTACTCCATACTCAACATTACTCCATACTCAACATTACTCTATACTCCACATTACTCCATACTCCACATTACTCCATACTCAACATTACTCTATACTCCACATTACTCCATACTCCACATTACTCCATACTCAACATTACTCCATACTCAACATTACTCTATACTCCACATTACTCCATACTCAACATTACTCTATACTCCACATTACTCCATACTCCACATTACTCCATACTCAACATTACTCTATACTCCACATTACTCCATACTCCAATTACTCCATACTCAACATTACTCCATACTCAACATTACTCTATACTCCACATTACTCTATACTCCACATTACTCCATACTCAACATTACTCTATACTCCACATTACTCCATACTCCACATTACTCCATACTCAACATTACTCCATACTCCACATTATCCACACTCCATACACCCTACGTTACTCTATTCTCCATTTCCATTTATTATTCCACTTCACTCCATACTCTTCCTACTTTATACTCTACCTTATTCCATACTCTTTCTCACTTCTCTACTCCACCCCCCCCTGGACTCCCTACTCATCTAGGAGATTTTGTTTGCTTTTATTCGTTAACTCTGGTCTTTGGACCCTGGATCAACTCTTTGCCTTCTACCGGCATATTCATGTTTAATATTTCTTTTAGACCTTTAATCTATGATCCCACGACCCTATAATGATTAATTAATTATGCGTTATGTATAGAAAGGGGAACCGGTTTTAATACATGGGACTGGTGGCGAAGATGCCACGCTACTGGTATGCTCGCTGGTGCAAATCATACTCAATCCCGATTGCAGAACCATACGGGGGTAAGTTTTAAGATTTTATTCAATTGGCAAGAAAGAATCAATTCTTAAAGATTGACATCTGCAGATTTATAAAATACCTTAACGTTAAACTTGTTTGAAAATTATTTTTGACTAAAACCCGCCGTTTTGGATGCTTTACAGCAGCAGTGGGCACGGGAAGACAAACAAGTTTAATATATCGTTTTTAAACCGTAAAAAGTTTTATTAAATGTTACTACTCGCGTAAACTATAGACAGTATTTAATCATAGATTTTTCTATAAGAAAACATGTTTAACTTGAGGTCGTCCGTAGTTGACACGAGGAAATTTAAATCAAACAGTTTAAAACGCGAAAGATATTATTAGTTAGCATAAACTACGTCACGACGTTTCGGATTTAAAAATGGAGGGTGTCCCAAATGTCAAAGTCAAATTTGTATTTAAAATAAGATGAAGACCTGCTTTCGACCTATTCGCTCTTTTGGATTTAGACATGCCTAATAGGACCTAGTTTCGCCTAATAACAAATATATTTCGCGTTTAGAAGCGTTAAAGTGTTTTATTAGAAACTATAAGATTCTTTGTATATTTTTTCTAGGTTACAAGCGTTAATAGAGCGAGAGTGGCTACAAGCCGGTCATCCGTTTGGCACGCGTCTCCGTTGCGGCCCGTACTCCAGTCAAGCCAGAGCGGCGCCCACCTTCCCCCTCTTCCTGGACTGCGTCAGGCAGTTCCTGGAGCAGTTTCCCTGCAGCTTCGAGTACCGCCAGTCGTTCCTCATCACGTTGTTCGAACATGCCTACGCGAGCCAGTTTGGTATGTAGGAGACTTTATTTGTATTCTTCGTGGTTTTATGGTATCTGTAGAAAAGTAAGGGAAGAAGAAAGAGTAAGAAGGAAATATACGGTGCAAGTGTTAGGCCACTCCATAAGGTGTGCCTTGGCCCAACTTTGGAGATATCTCCATTTCCTTTTTTACATAGTTTTATGTGTGTCATGAGTTGTTATATATTTGACCACTTGACCTATTGAAGTGTTATCCGTAGTTTAAGCTGCAATTAAATGAAAACACTTTTAACGGTTTAAAACGCGAAATGTATTTGTTACTCTATTTTCAGTCGATTTCATTCCTCCCGTGGCCGCGATTGCTGCTAAGCATCAGAAATGCCGGGTCGTAGTTAAAATAAAGTTAACTAATAATTACGCGTATTAAACCATTAAAAGTGTTTTATTAAAATGTCATATTTGTCTGTCCTTATACAAATTGTAATTTTTAACTAATTTTTTTTTGTTTTTTATTTACAGGAACCTTTTTGTGCGACAATGACCAAGAGCGCACAACTAGAGATGTGTATTCGCAGACAACCAGTCTATGGTCATGGGTGAACCAACCAGATGAGCTCTGCGCTTATATAAACCCACTTTACGATCCCACGCCCAATGTCATCTGGCCATCCGTTGCGCCCATGAGCTATGTTATATGGGAAGGTAACATTTTAATAATACTAACAAAGTTTGTGAGGAAGGGTGAATAATGTAGTTTACGCGAGTATCACACATTTAAATAAAACTCTTTGAAAGGTTTAAAACCCGAAATATGTACTGCAATGAATCTAAAACGTCGGGTCGTAAATAAAAATATATTTCGCATTTTGAACCGTTACACGTGTTTTATATCAGTATTAATATTTCTCTCGAGACACAAGGGCCTTGTCAATTGGTGTGCGTCCATTTGTATTTAAGTTGTTTTTTTTTTATGATAGAGGACGCTTGCTTGTCTACCCTACAAGCAAGCGCTCATTTGATGGAAGATGGTGCTACCCTTTGAATATGCCTCTAAGCCAAGGTTAAATGTATAGCCTAGCATAGCGTTAAGCGCGAGAGGCCCTTGGTTCGAAGCCCAGAGAAACATAAAATTGTTTCGGTTGGGCAGGGTACAGAAGTCTGATCAACTCCTGCCTGTAAAAGAACGGATCAGTGAAACGGACACGGAAATGTGTTCGCCCCATGCCCCGCGAGGGGGAAACGGGCTTTCACTACACCCTTTGAATAGACAAATTTCCAGGCAAAGTTAAGAGAATTATTTATAAATTTATAAGAAACACCTTTAATTCCACTACCCGTCGATTAACAACTATATATTGTTACCATTGTGCCAATGAGTTCGTCAAAGTATTAAATTATATCAACAATTTCAGAGTTGTATCTCCGCTGGCTAGTCCCTCAGCGCACAGAGGAACGGGAGGAGCAGTACAAAGTGATTCGTACACGAGAACAGCATCTGCGCTCCCAAGCGCAGCAGCTGCGCAGGGAACTGCTGGATCTGGCGCAGCAGTACTACAAGACTAATGTCTTGGAGAAATAACCCGTTCGCCATTTGAACATATGCAAGGGTCCCAATTCTGCTATTTACAATGTCGCTTGCCATTTGGTATTATAAGGCTAAGGCTTGTCGATGTCGTGGCTACTGGTGGGGGGAGGGGGAGGTCAATAAGGTTGTACAGCATTCGTAAATGAGACTTTGCCGTCGTAATAGCATTTATATAAAACTTTTATAACAGCTCTAATCGCGACATCTGGTAATTCGTGGACTAAGGATGTAGGATGTCGCTAACGTCAAAGTAATAACTGCTACGCTAGCGCCATCTGTTTTCTTATAATTGTGTTTTTTTATTACTTCTCGCCTAGACTACAAACAATACACATACTCATTTACGAGGGCCGCACCGAATAATAATTTTACCGTGGACTTTGTCAATAGTTTCATATACAATTTGAAGGCGAAATATTATATCTTCACTTTAAGAATTGCCCCCCGGTTTCGTTCGCTAAACGTATAGCGGAATGGGCATCCAGCATATAAGAAACTTTGTACCTTCAAGTTTATTAATTCTATAAAAATCATGACATAATTATATACAAATTATAAAAGAAGTATTCTAGTCGTGATAAATTTATATTTTTTTAGTTTTAATATTAAGACGTATAAACTCAATACAAACAGGTACAAAATACATATAAGCAACTACTAGTTCAATGGTTAACACGGGAGACTATAGGTTCGTATCCCGGGTAGGCAAATTGCCGGTCAAGGGGGGCATAGAGCAAATTGTATAAAAAATTAGTGAATCTTACAAAGTGGTGTTCGTCCCATGCCGCACGGGAGGAAATGGCATTTTGTGCATTAACTATACGATGTCAAATAAACACCGAACAACTGCCAAACTTCAATAAGATGTGCGATGTGCAATTACCAAATTTGTACTAATAAATGTAAAAATTATATGTATATACAACACCGTGCTTTTTCAATAAACTAAAATACATTTTTAGTTAAGGTACCTCCTAATCGTGAAATTGTCACTAATCAAAAAAATAAGAAGGGTAGTCATGAAATTTCAAACTTTTAAGGAAACACAAAATCCTAGAATTATGTAGTATTTTTAGTCTTGTCTAAATAACCTTGTAAAAATAACACTTAACGGTTTAAAACACAAAAAGTTCTATGTAACTTATATACTAATTATTTTTAGCAGGGCTAGAGAATGCAGCGCTTTTAAACAATCCGAAACGTCGTGTCTTAGTTAAAATTAAGCCAAAATTAATTTAAGTAATATATTTCTCGTTTTAAGCCGTTAAGTCTTCTTTTCTTAGTTACGAATTATTTTGCTTCTAGTTTCGATTTAATCTTATATGTTTTGAGAAGTCTATTAACCAAAATACCAATAGTTTAAGCTCTTAACTTCATCTTCTCTTTTAAGATCTGTTTCATTTTATAATATATACTCGAAATAAGATAATATAATATTTAATTGTACCAGTGCCTGCTTTATATATCATAATATATTTCAAATTATCATTATAACATATAGAAGATATAGTATATGGAATTGTTTATTCATATAATTTATGGGGCCTAAGAAAACTGACGTTTTTAAATTATATAGTTCGGTGTATAGATTAAAAATTAAAGTTTTATATGTAATTCTAGTTTGAAGATGTACGTACCTAAATGGCGTTTAATATATTAAGAGGGGCTCTTAAAGGGGAATGCCCATCTCCGTAGAGAAGTAGGCCAGAAATGGCCATCAAAAAATTTCCAATAATTCAACGACTGTTATTATTTCTTAAAGGAGATTGTACGTGTTTATAAAGCTATATGCTTCTTCATAGTCGATGGAAATAGGTTTTTGTAGGTGGCTGTCCGTGTTGTGGCCTGAAATGGGCATAGCCCTTTTCTTATTTAATGTATATTGTCATATCAAATTCTAAAGTCTTATCAATGGCCTACATTCCATTTTCAAAGCCTAGCTACTTAGTCTAAGTAATGTATTGGTAATTATAATTTATACAAATAACTATGTACATTGTAATATAGTATCGTCAATTCGATTCCTTTGTATAAACGGATGTTTAGCTGTCAATTAAATAATTGCATTTATTTGTGTCTTGTTCATCTTAACCCCCCCCACTTCTCCTCCTTATTCACCTATCCTCTTTTAACCAGATATTTGGACTTATGTCTTCGAGTAGAAGGTTGTAGGTATAAGTTCAAAAGTTAATTTCAAATTGTCTTTAAAATACTTTAACTTTTAATATTAACAGTTTAAAACTCGAAAAATATTCGTTCATTTGTTTTTTGTACGTCTTTGCAGGAGTTAAGATCACGGGGACATGGTAGCGCCATCTGTTATGTAATTGGTATTTCAAAAATAATTATTAAGTATGTGTTAAAGTGTTATTTAAAGGTCCTACTCAGGTAAACTGTTATCACGTGAAACAAAAGCTAATATACAAGTACTTAGACTTACATTATAAATAAAAATGTCCTTATAATATAACGTTATATAATGTCCTTATAATAAAACGTTATCTTGGCCTTATCATTCATGGCGATATCTCGGCGGAGAATTATGAAAAAGTATCAATATATAGGATTACTCTTACAAAACAGTACAAAAGAAGAACATAGAGCTTGCGCATGCGTTTACAAACTGTCATTAAGGTCACAAAAGATATATTCTTAAATTATGGTAAATAGAAAATTTGAATGTATGGTTACTAACGGGCCTGGGATCGATTCCCATAGGGTCCAACATATTTCTAAATAATAAATGTTATCTGTAACATGAAGCACTTCTGGAAATCTAGCTATTAAATGGGTGTTAGAAATATCGAATCCGGGTCATGTACAACCGCGCATAGACAAAAAAGCCATCAAGTTTATCTGAGCTTTGGTAGTGTGTGGATATCCGAATATCCAAAGCCAGAATAGGACAGCGCTATATATGGCTGGGATATTTCATCTTCCATCGAGTGAACATTTCCATAAATAAAACTATCGTAATTTACATTCACAGTTCTCCATCGAAATGAATAAAACAATTTCGTCAGTAGCGCCGGAGTGTAGCTCGTAATGATGTGGTCGGTGTAATAGCCGACAGTCATTCACCTCGACATTGCTATTGTGTTTTTATACCAACGATGGGGCCTCGGGAAGCTAAATAACGCCAAATTGGAAATGCTAAAGCGATGAGTGATTTGGCTCACGAAAGCCATTCTTGGTAATTTTTTATAAGGTTAAACGAACAGTCACAACGAAGATAGATGCAGAACGACACAAATTTACAAGTTCAAATATGCTAATAAAAACGGGTCGTGGGTTCGTTCTCCACCGGGTCCATAATTTTCCTAATACATGTTGGATTTCGTCTGGACATCTGGATATTAGTGGGGTAATACGTCGTCCGGGTCACTGACGTCCACAGATGAAAAAGCCGTAAAGTTTAATCGCTAGATGGCCAGTCGAAACGTGATTAAACTCAAAGCCTTTTTTATCATTCGGTTTGTGGCGCGGAATTTTGATATTCTTACCAAACATTTAACAATCAGATCTTCATGTATAATTATAGACAAATCTTTGACTGTAGCATAGTATAGGTAACATTAATTACACAACGGGTCTGTGGATTTTCGACCCAAAGCCAACATTCAAAGCGCTTCTTTTCGAGTTATTATTATTATTTTAATTATAGAAGAGAACAGACTAGCATGCGATTCACATAATGGTAAGTGAAATACGCCAGCCTATAGCATCTAAACAAGATGCGATGTCGACCTATATTAGCTTTGGATATTCGGAAATCCATTCACTGAAACCGAAACGGCTTTATCGTCAGTGTGGGGAGGGCGGTTCGTGACTCGGATGAAATTTCGATTATCCCACCATCCATTTAGATTTCATTAGAATAATGTTGGACCCGGCGGGGATCGAATCCAAGCCCGTATATCGTATAGCTATGTCACCATCCAACCAAGTGGATCTCATCCATGTCTGTAAAAACTATCCTGTAACATGAAAACGTCGCAATTAATAAGGCTCCATACATTTATGCGACGTGGAAGATGTGAAATTATGGCTTTAGTAGTCGTAGTTGCTTTCTAAGAACGATTCTTGTAATGAAGCCACATCCTGGCGTTGAGAATGCTATTAAAGACATATTTTATGACGTAATCAAGACTTGAAATGTGATTTTTTTTTACACAATGTACAAAAACTGGAACGGACTATTTGGCCGATTGGTAATATGTATATCTATACTAATATATAAAGCTGAAGAGTTTTTTTTTAAAAAAAAAAAAAAAAAAAAAAAAAAAAAAAAAAAAAAAAAAAAAAAGGGGGGGGAAAAAAAAAAGGGGGGGGGGGGGGGGGGGGAAAAAAACCCCCCCGGGGAAAAAAAAAAAAAAAAAAAAAAGGGGGGAAAAAAAAAAAAGGGGAAAAAAACCCCCCATGTTTTTTGGGGGGGGGGGGGGGAAAAAAAAAAAAAAAAAAAAAAAAAAAAAAAGAAGGGGGGGGGGGGGGGGGGAAAAAAAAAGGGGGGGGAAAAAAAAAAAAAAAGGGGGGGGGGGGGGAAAAAAAAAAAAGGGGGGGGGAAAGGGGGCCGAGGGGGGGGGAAAAAAGGGGGGGTTGGGGAAAGAAAAAGGGGGGGGAGAAAGAAAAAGGGGGGGGGGGGGGGGGGGAAGAAAAAAAAGGAAAGAAAAAAAAAAAAATAAAGGGGGGGGGGGGAGAGGGGGGGGGAAAAAAATTTTTCCCCCCCCGGGGGCCCAGGTTCTTCTCGTCATCTATAAACTGTATAAGCTGAGGACTGTTTGTTCGAACGCGCTAATCTCAGGAACGGTTGTACCATTGAACAATTTTTGTTTTGGCAAGAGCATTTCTCGAGGAAAGCTTAAGGCTATAAAACATTATGCCGCGGTTAAAAGAAAAAATTATAGGTATGTTCATTTAAAAATGAAAAAGAAATCTATTTAATTTTCTTCTACATTTGTCCCTCTTTATCGATGAGGGAAGTGGGCCTAAGATCC